ATGATAGTGTAGATGAATTCCATACCTGTGTCTGTGTGAATGAGGGTGCGTGTTTATCTGTTATACGTTGTAAGTTATGAGTTATCTCCCTTGATCATGTTTTGTATATATATATATATATATATAATTTTCTTTTTTCTATCGGATTTGCCTGTTATTCAATCCATTTGGCCATACCTTCTGTCAATAAAATTCGTTGAAATGAAAATAAAGTTAATAGACAAGTCTTGACAGCTACCAATTCAGATACTACAAAGGTACAAAACTTTCTCGTATCAATAACGGAAGTTTATATACAGCAAAGAGTTTCAACAATGCATCAGAAAAATCATCAAACAAATATTAAAAAAAAAACCCATGAAATATGAAAAAGTGAGTAAGTCATCGAATTTCCTCTCCAGTATGGTAGAAATGCCCTGTAATAGGATCACAGTTCAAACATATGATCTATTAAGGGAAAGTAAAAAACGTCGTTAGATTGTATTCATGACTTCTGGTCTGGGTATTGTAGGATAGTGCATATCTGTTAACGTGTAACCTGCTATTTAACTCAATGGTTGGGAAAAAAATTTTAAAACTCCTAAGCTCTTTACTAAGAAATATATTCAGTGTCGATTGTGTCGGAATGCAAATACCGTTTTTTTGTGTGTAATCGGGGTTTTTTTTTATTCAAAAAATGCTTTAAATCCCACTCACGCATTGCAGTGCTTTGTTCCGTTAATTGAAACATATCTATTCGCCAATATGAAGACGTAATTATCGGTAGATAGGCACTGGCATGAAAATGACACGGGTTATTTGCACTGTTTTGAGAACTGTGTTATTGCACATATGGAAAATGTGTAAATGGAATCAGTCCTGTTTAAGAAAGACATCCTGGTTGCCCTGTAGGCTGCTTACGACGGAGAAAATAACCCAAAATGGACGGTAGTAAGGTATTGTATGAATAGATAGGTATATGATATAGGGGTAGGTGTAGGATAAAAGGGTATGTATAGGATATAAGAGTAGGTATAGGATATAAAGGTAGGTATGGATATAAAGGTAGGTATAGGATATAAAGGTAGGTATAGGATATAAGGCTGAACATTTTCGTCAGGTTGGGAAGTAAGGATTATGTAAAGATTCTCTATACACAACCAGGACTTTTAATATATGACGTTTCGGTGACCAGTACGATCCGTACGCTGTCACCTTCTTCAGACAAATGACCAGTAAAGCATGTACACAAAGGTGTGATATGCTGACAAGTGCCGAAATGACTGTTAGCGAATAGTAAAACCATTCGGCTACGCTTATTTTATTACTTGGTCATAGATGTGCGAGAGTCTATGATCCCCCTCATCTCGGATCAGAACTGCCCCGCTGCGGCGTATCCAGATGGCTTCTTTGATCTGTCGCTTCAGAGGATGGTTCTCCCTATCGAGCACCTTTGAGTTTTCCCAGTCAATCACATGGTTTTCCTGCATGGCATGGTCAGTGATTGCCGATTTGTTTATCTGGGACTCCGACTGCTTCCTCTCTGATCGGGTGAACTTCTTTTCCTCTTGTCTTTCGGTGTCTTTCCGGTGCTCCCCAAGGCGAACCCCGAATCGCCTTCCAGTCTCTCCAATATATGACGCGTCACAGTTTTTGCACCCGATCTTGTATATGCATTCTGCGACATTCTCTTTGGTTATCTTATCCTTAGGGTGGACTAGGATATTTCGAAGCGTCTTGTGGGGCTTCATGGCTGTTGCTATGCCATGGTTGCGGTATATCCTTTGGATGGTTTCAGATATACCCTTTATATATGGGATGACCACCTGGATTTTTGTTTTGTTTTGATCTTTCATAGGTCTTTTTCTGTTTTTTCCTTTATTTTGACACTGTTTTTGTACCCGTTTAAGGGCCCATTCCGGATATTCACAATTTTTCATTGCTTTCATGATGTGGCTCTGCTCTTGAATTTTGTCCTGTTGTTCTGTGACTATGGTCTCACATCGATTGAGCAACGTGCGTACGACCCCTAACTTCTGATGTAAAGGGTGGTGGATTTAAAGTTGAGGTATTGGTCTGTGTGGGTCTTTTTCCTGTAGACCAATAACTTCACTGTTCCGTCTTCTCTTCTGGCTATAAGTGTGTCTAGGAAGGGCTTTACTGGTCATTTGTCTGAAGAAGGTGACAGCGTACGGATCGTACTGGTCACCGAAACGTCACATATTAAAAGTCCTGGTTGTGTATAGATAATCTTTACATAATAGGATATAAGGGTAGATATAGGATATAGGGGTAGGTAAAGGATATAAGGGTAGGTGTAGGATATAAGGGTAGGTGTAGGGTATAAAGGTAGGTATAGGATATAAGGTTAGGTATAGGATATAAAGGTAGGTATAGGATAAAAAAAGGTAGGTATAGGATGAAAAAAGGTAGGTATAGGATATAAAGGTAGGTATAGGATGTAAGGGTAGGTATAGGATATAAGGGTAGGTATAGGATATAGGGGTAGGTATAGGATATAAAGGTAGGTATAGGATATAAGGTTAGGTTGAGGATATAAGGGTAGGCATTGGATATAAGGGTAGGTATAGGATATAAGAGTAGGTATAGGATATAAGGGTAGGTATAGGATATAAGAGTAGGTATAGGATATAAGGTTAGTTATAGGATATAAGGGTAGGTATAGGATATAAGGGTAGGTATAGGATATAAGGGTAGGTATAGGATATAAGGGTAGGTATAGGATATAAGGTTAGTTATAGGATATAAGGGTAGGTATAGGATATAAGGGTAGGTATAGGATATAAGGTTAGTTATAGGATATAAGGGTAGGTATAGGATATAAAGGTAGGCTATAAAGGAAAGTATAGGATATAAAGGTAGGTATATGATATAAAGGTAGGTAAAGGATATAAAGGTAGGTATAGGATATAAGGTAGGTATAGGATATAAGGGTAGGCTATAAAGGTAGGTATAGGATATCAAGGTAGGTATATGATATAAAGGTAGGTATAGGATATCAAGGTAGGTATAGGATATAAAGGTAGGTATAGGATATAAGGGTAGGTATAGGATATAAAGGTAGATATAGGATATAAAGGTAGGTATAGGATATAGGGGTAGGTATAGGATATAGGGGTAGGTATAGGATATAAGGTTAAGTATAGGATATAAAGGTTGGTATAGGATAAAAAAAAGGTTGGTATAGGATGAAAAGAGGTAGGTATAGGATATAAAGGTAGGTATAGGATGTAAGGGTAGGTGTACGATATAAAGGTAGGTATAGGATATAAAGGTAGGTATAGGATATAAGGTTAGGTTGAGGATATAAGGGTAGGCTATAAAGGTAGGTATAGGATATAAAGGTAGGTATATGATATAAATGTAGGTAAAGGATATAAGGGTAGGTATAGGATATAGGGGTAGGTATAGGATATAAAGGTAGGTATAGGATATAAAGGTAGGTATAGGATATAAGGTTAGGTATAGGATATAAAGGTAGGTATAGGATGAAAAGAGGTAGGTATAGGATATCAAGGTAGGTATAGGATATAATGGTAGGTATATGATATAAAGGTAGGTAAAGGATATTAAGGTAGGTATAGGATATAAGGTAGGTATAGGATATAAGGGTAGGCTATAAAGGTAGGTATAGGATATCAAGGTAGGTATATGATATAAAGGTAGGTATAGGATATCAAGGTAGGTATAGGATATAAAGGTATGTATAGGATATAAGGGTAGGTATAGGATATAAAGGTAGATATAGGATATAAAGGTAGGTATAGGATATAGGGGTAGGTATAGGATCTAAGGGTAGGTAAAGGATATAAGAGTAGGTATATGATATATAGGTAGGTATAGGATATAAGGATAGGTATAGTATATAAGGGTAGGTATAGGATATAGGGGTAGGTATAGGATATAAGGTTAGGTATAGGATATAAAGGTAGGTATAGGATAAAAAAAAGGTTGGTATAGGATATAAGGTTAGGTATAGGATATAAGGTTAGGTATAGGATATAAAGGTAGGTATAGGATAAAAAAAAGGTTGGTATAGGATGAAAAGAGGTAGGTATAGGATATAAAGGTAGGTATAGGATGTAAGGGTAGGTGTACGATATAAAGGTAGGTATAGGATATAAAGGTAGGTATAGGATATAAGGTTAGGTTGAGGATATAAGGATAGGCTGTAAAGGTAGGTATAGGATATAAAGGTAGGTATATGATATAAATGTAGGTAAAGGATATAAAGGTAGGTATAAGATATAAAGGTAGGTATAGGATATAGGGGTAGGTATAGGATATAAGGGTAGGTGTACGATATAAAGGTAGGTATAGGATATAAGGGTAGGTATAGGATATAAGGTTAGGTATAGGATATAAAGGTAGGTATAGGATAAAAAAAAGGTTGGTATAGGATGAAAAGAGGTAGGTATAGGATATAAAGGTAGGTATAGGATGTAAGGGTAGGTGTACGATATAAAGGTAGGTATAGGATATAAAGGTAGGTATAGGATATAAGGTTAGGTTGAGGATATAAGGATAGGCTGTAAAGGTAGGTATAGGATATAAAGGTAGGTATATGATATAAATGTAGGTAAAGGATATAAAGGTAGGTATAAGATATAAAGGTAGGTATAGGATATAGGGGTAGGTATAGGATATAAGGGTAGGTGTACGATATAAAGGTAGGTATAGGATATAAGGGTAGGTATAGGATATAGGGGTATGTATAGGATATAAATGTAAGTATAGGATATAAAGGTAGGTTTACCACTTAATGATGATAAAATTTGGATAGATATTAACTATCATGCTATGTATTGAATGAAGTTACAAGGTGTGTGGACATGTCTTGTCTAAAGATAGACTACACGTTACTGGAATTTCATGGAAACACATATGTGTGCCTGCTAAAAGATATTAGACGATTTAACCAATCACAGACTACCTTAAACAAAAATATGCAACTTCCTGGTTTACCTATCAATTTACCTAAACGTATATAGAAGAAAAATATGACCGGAATGCACAGATCTGCTAGGGCAGTTGTATGTTTAACAAGCACACTTGTACTGTATCTCAATAACACTGTAAATACCCTTTGATATATCTTTACGCTCATTCATGAATAGAAAGGGAACTTTTAGTTTGGTTTTGTGGTTTTATTCTTATAGAACAGATATATTGCTAATATGGTTCATTGTTCAGAAAACAGTCGTTAAATATGTCATATGTAAGCATCGTGGAATGAATCGTTGTCAGAAATTGAGCGATTGCAATGAGTTAAAATCTCGAGAGTAGGCACATGTTTTAAAATACACATTAAATAAAATTTCTAATACCGAGAGCGGTTTAAATTCACACGGGACTCACAGTGGTCGTGTGCCTTAGGCGTTTGACCGTCCTTATCACTAGCCCTGCACCTCTGGATCGCATGTTCGAGACCTACGAATTTCAATTTTCAATTTACGCAGGCAGTCGTAAAACAATATAAATCAAAATAAATTATATTACCCTCATACAGGTTCCACGTGATTCAACATATTTATAATCACTGTCAGATACAAGAGTTGCTATATCAGGCTTTGAATATGTATAAATCTACATTCACTGAAGATAACTAATTTAGTACATGAACTCCTTTAGCACGGTAATAAAAAAGAAGTTTCATATTTATCAATGAAGTAATAAGGAGAGTACGAACAAACGAATTGTCAAATTTTCCAAGGCGATCTGCAAGATACAAATACTACATAAATTATATAACATACATAGAACACAAAACAAATACAAAGTTATAAACTAACATCGATAATCCCTTTGGTCGATGGACGCCGAAGGCCCTTTATAAGGGGCAAAAAAACCATCTTAGCTTGTTGTATGAAAGTTGGTGATTATCAAATATCAAAAATATATTCCTTAAAGACAAACACACTATACTGTTCTAATTTCAATTGTATGAATTATGAATTTTCTATCAACGATGATGAAATACTGCATTTCATAAATATGAGTTCTTTTTTATTTAAAAAGACCTCCGTAATTATATCAAGATGGATGGTAAAATATATGATTAGTATCCCAGCCAACTATTGTTCTTGTATATTGTAGGGTTACAGGAGCAGTGTAGCTTCTAGCGGATACCACTCTGTGCCAATCAATATTAATTCACAGTCAGATGTACCTGCAAAGGATGACAGGTAATGAAACTATGTTTTTTTCAGGTAATAACGTCCTAAACACAAATATCGATATTTGAACAGTTTGAAATGATTGAAATATGTAACAGACCATCACTTACTCATTGAAAATTATTCGGATTTTACACTGGTATTTTGGCAACAAATTGCCTATTTGGTCAGCCAGCATAAAATCTGTACCGGCATGACTCTACCTTAAATTGGAGTTACAAGCTAGAGAATCATGTCCAGTGTTTGACCTCACTGTAGAAGACAATTGTTTTATCACCAGCTTAAACAGAGGTGAAATTCGTCAATGAGTTATAACTACAGATTGTTTGTTGACTGACCTCGTGATTAATACTATTTCATTTTTGCAGGAAAGAAATACTATTTATAACATACTGCTTTGAAACATAATTCTCAACTGTATATTTACCTTTTTTGCTTACCTGTATGTTGGGTGATAATAGTTTCTGTAATGGACAATCCGTAAGCAAATCAATCGTCATTGTTCATACTAATTTAAAGTAATGATGATAAAATAAGACAATGCTTACCGTTTGAAAATTATCATACTAAAACTAGAACATTACAAGATTAGGAATGTCATTGGAATAACAGCGCAATGTCTCGTTTCCGCACTCGTCAAAACTTGGATTTCAAAGTTGATAACATCTATGCAAATCCTCAGATTTTGGGATGTGTTTGAGATGGACGGACCTTCAGATGTACGAAGAGGAATGAGAACATACATATGGTGTATCCGTGTTCTGAAGGTAGTGGTTTACATTTTGTTGAACCTCTCCTTAGTACTGTGTACGGTTGGTCAGAGACTTACGCTCTTAACGCTGATACCGCAGGGAAAGGTAGGCTTATTACCGTCTTCTTTCGTCTTTATAAAAAAACCCATAAAGATGATGCAGTTTTAACATGCGAAATTAATTTTCCATTTTAGAAAAATGTTTTCTTACTAGGAATAATGCTCCTTTTTAATGCATATATGCTTTCAATCAGTACCCAGTTCTTTCGTTCACGATATGTGTTGAGCCTATGATCATACAAATTACCTTATGATCAGGAAAGAAAACTGAGGTCTTCCGAACAGTACTTAGTTCGAATATTTGTAAAGAGAACCATAAATGTTATTTAAGGCAAATGCGTGCTTCAGGTAAGTTCAGAGTTCTTGAAAACTGTTGACAAGTATTTTGTTGTATGAGAAGGCCAGCTTGAGACTAGAGCCAACACTAGTAAAATTATAAATGTAAGAATTAACACTGAATCCAAGCCCAGCAGGAGAACGTTATGATATATATATATACATATATGTTTTCTCCTTAAAAGAGTCTTGACAAATACCAGTGCCATCTAAACGGGACTTTCTCTGCAAGTTTGACTGAGCGATTAAGCAACAATCTGCTGCTATGTCTCGGAATATGTTTACCATATATGTTGGTATTCTTAACTGGACTCTGGAAATACCTGTTTGGGAAAACGGAACAACCTTCTGTTCTTCTCACCTTAAAGGTAAAAAGCAATACCACCCATGCTATCATAATTAGTGCTGTTTTTTATTTTTAAATAATTTAATTTAATGTAATGTAATTTAAAATTTAGGAAACTGTCTCGTCGTTAACAATCAGTTTACAGTTTATGCTAGTCGTTTTAACTGTCAGTTGGGATGACATTTTTATCAAATGGTTTTCGTTTCAGGTTTTGGTTTTGGAGACAATACCCACAGCCGGGATAGCGTTTTTCGTCTACATAATGCTACCTAACTTTAATATGATTACTGGAACGGCTGTACTTAACGCGTGCTGTCTGTTACCCGGAGTATTGAATATGGTATCTCGGTTCAATTGTATAAATACAGAACCGATGCAGGTCACATCGTTACGGACGTGGATGCCACGATTACTTGACGGAGTAGCATTACTCTTACAACTTGGGTTTATACCATATATGTATCTAACCGACGTGTATCTGTCCGATCATGCTGCAGACATGATAGGTTTAATGCTAACTATTGCGGCATGTTCCTTCATGTGCTGGGAGAATTTTTTTGAAGATTTCGAATGTTTAAATAAAAGAATAAAAATTACGGATAAAAACAGACCATTTTTAATGATGGTATCTTCAGTGATCAAAATCAGTGTAACGTTTGTGATCAGTGTTACAGCGACGTCTAAGGATTTAGGAAACTACAAGGATATACTGCCAAATGCATTCAGGAACCTTTGGGCGGAACGCATGTTTTTCGATTCATATTTCCTTGGTTTTATATTTTCGTCATTTATCGGATACCATGTAGCCTATACTGCATGCAAATTAAATATGCAGATATTTTCTTTCTCGATACCATTATTGATAACAACCCCTACCTCGCTACTCTTTCACTACTTAAACGCCGAAACTAAAATCCCAGTATTTGACCTACAACGCCTAAACACCGTTTGCGAGTTTTCAACGCACTGGCAAGACTATATGCCGTATCTTTTGATCCTGTCACTTTACTGGATTGGGAGACATGTTTGGACTCCACACATGGAACGAATGGCAAAGATTGAAGCGTAAGTTTCCTCTTAGTGATCTTTATGCCTTTCCTTCATGTCTGTCCGTCAGTCTGTCTTAATTTTGTTCAGAACATATCACAAAAAAAAAAAAAACAAAACTATAAAAGATGTCAACATGAAACTACATAGGTGGATAGACCTCGATAACGAGAAGTGTAGTGTACAAGTTCCATAACTCTGTTTTCCATAACTTAGGAGTTATTGCCCTTTGTTATTTTTCATTGATAAATTTTGTAAAAACTAGCCCTTTTGGAATAAGCGTTTATTCAGAGATCATCCATCGATTCTACCGATTTTAGTGACTTCTTAAGTTATTGTCACAAACATGATGGTAAATCCAAATATTTCATGAGCAATATTAACTCTGAGAAACAAGATTTAACGGAATTCATGATAAATAAATATACATCTCTAGCTTCATATGAATTCTATTATGTACTCAAAATAATATAAATATGTGTGTGAGAGCTGTCTGGTAATGTATTTCATATCCAATCATCGAATGCGTTTGATTTGAATATAAAACTTGTTTTCAATGTAATAGACTCCAAACGTAACAATTCCACTTTGCCAGTAGAAGCCTTTCTTGTATTTTGTACATGGTGAGGTATGGATCTTTTTCAATATACAAGTAAAACAACATTTTTCATTGAAATATTTTTTGTCAATTTAGGATCTTTTCATTTCCAAATGTATGACTAAGAGGATGAAATAGGAAGTGCAGGTTAAAAGACATACAATACCTGTATAGTTCTTTCGGTGTAGTGTTTAAAGGGGAAAATAAGTTTGTACAAACTGGTTAAGGCAATTCTGAAATAAAACAAAACATACAAAATAACGAGGATGTACAAATAAATGTAGGAAGTTAAATCATAGTGTGCTCACCACACATTTCATGTATATCTAAACACACAATTACATGGAGTTAATGACAGATTTTACTTGTGTGCTTGTCACTTCATGTGTCACTAAACATACTCATATTTATACCGATTCAAAAATGTATATTCATTAGTAAAGAACTCAGCTAATATCCCTCATGTACATGAATATGGGGAACTTATCTTTGTATTTATTTAGTTTTTTTCCCTGTTTTTTTCGACTTCGGATACAAACTCTGTAAACATATTATCATCATATTTTGTCATATAATGGTTACAGGGGTGAAACTTTTAGCCCGCGAATAGCATATATCTTTATGGTGATTTGATTTAAACATATTTTATTGCACATAAGTAGCAACAGGATTGGGCGCAAGTTTTACGACTTATATCAAGCACTTTCCAAACATATTAGTACACCATATACACCTTATGTTTACAAGGTGGCAATAGGATTTGATAACAATGGAACAAGTTTTAACGAGGAGAGAGAGAGGGGGGATGGGAGAGAGAGAGAGAGAGAGAGAGAGAGAGAGAGAGAGAGAGAGAGAGACAGAGAGAGAGAGAGAGACAGAGAGAGAGAGAGAGACAGAGAGGGACAGAGAGACAGAGAGACAGAGACAGGTGATACACTGTCCACATGCCTAGACTCACAACTAGACATCTATGATGGTAATTGATGTATCTAGCTGTCTTTAAATCATGATATGGGTTGTCGGGTGGCGCGTTCACCTTTCACCTATAAGTCCGAGGTAGATTACCCGAATGGAGAAGGCGAAGTGTGACCCGACCATAAGGGCTTGCCCCATCATGCAGGCCCATCCGGGTTAACAAGAATGAAATACAATATGTTGAATAACTTGTTCCACAACTGCTGTAAAATTCATTTTTTTTTTCTTTCTTTTTTTAATATTCGTTTGTTTTCGTTTTTTTAAAAGGGATATTTCACTGGTGATCGCACAGAACATTCTAAAGTGCTATGACAAAATGTTTCGTATTCAGAGAACATATCAAAGAATTATTAATGGTAATGGTAATTCTCAATTTTGTTTCCCAATCCACTGTAGTATACTATATATTGCAGATTGTTCGTGGCACCAACATACTGCGGTGTGCTGTTCGAGCAACATTTAGTACTGAATAGACGGCGTCACGATCAGAAAATGGGAAAAAGTCCTGAAAGGTATGTGAAATCTCGCAGGCATTGTTCATACTTATTTCTGTTGAGTTTTGATCACGTGGTATTTCTGGTTTACAATGGATTGCTAATGCAGAATAATAATAATAATAATAGTAAATCCAGATGCTAAAGGACCATATATGTCCACATGACAATAGGACAATCAATGAAATAAATCAATGTTTGTTCAGTAGTTTTAAAGATCTATAACGCGATAGTCTTGCTATTGAAATTTTAAAAAAAGATAAAGGCTTGTGGTGGTGATTTTAAGTAATCAAAATGTCTCTACCTTGGATACCTTTGAAGTATATGATAATTTATGTCTTGTATCATATAAATATCCCTATTTTGTTTATGTTTTGCAGTTTATACATGAATAATATACATTTAGAGGAGGGCCAAACTGAAAAATCTTCCAAAGAGCAGAGTATAACAAAACCTGTTATTTACGCATGCGCGACATTATGGCATGAAACTCCAAGGGAAATGACACAACTTATGAAATCTCTCTTTGTGTAAATATGTTTATATACCCTTTAGTCGTGTATCTACAAGTGTGATAATTGATAGCAAATTAATGTAAATTATATTGTTTGCTTCTTATGCTGCCGACTAATTAGGGGACGTGTATCTTGTGCAAGACTAAAGTAGAGAATATTCTCTCATTGATGAGAAAAACGTAGAAAACATAGGTGTGTTCTGCTATGCTGACAGAAGAATCTAATGGAGACAGAAGTATTACTATTTACGTAGTTTTATCACATAATTGCCGAGCATTTTTAACGACAAAAACCATACTTATACAATGGAATAACGTCACACATTCGCAGAAAACATGATAAGGTCACAATGGACATGATCGATAAAGAGCAGGTTTGGCTTCACTGTTGTAAAAGATTTACATTTTGTTGGACCAAATCAAGTCTTAAACTAATGAAAATGACCACCACCTTCACTTGAATTAAGTCAGACCTGATTAAAATGCGGTATTGTTTTGACGATTTTTAGGATGGACTTGGATTTTTCCACTAGACAAGCAGCAGACGATTCCTCTGTAGAAACGTATGAGTTCGAAAGTAAGTTATATAAAATATCCCATATGTTCTGTTTAAAAGAGTAACACATAAAACAAAAAACGACCAGAAAAAACAACTTAAATACCATGATTGTATCGTATAACTATGTTTCTATGCTGTGTTATTTAGTAAACCATCTCTGAACATTGTGTGTTTCGATGTTGTGTAATTTACTAATTGAACAAGTAAAGGTCATTTTACAAAAGAAAAGATTCAAGAAGGCAACATTTTTATTCTTTATTTTGCGTCAGGTCATATTTTATTCGATGACTCGTTTGAATACGATGAGGGAGACAGGAGGGTGCCAAACAAGTTCGTTAAACAGTTTGTAGGATTGTTAACAGACGCAGCTAGGTGAATCCCCGCTAAGTAACACTTTATTCAACTTCACTTCTCTCAACTCAAATTTAAACATATTCATTCAATATTTCTTTCCCTTTAATACTTTCCCCTTATATACATATAAAACTTAATGAAATAAGATCTTTTGCATTGAATTACAATTGAATGGTTATTAAAATGTTCAAACGTTTCTTTAACAAAAACATGTAAAACTTCTTGATTGGAGCATTACAACAGTTAAAAATGAATTATATAATGTTCATTTCATTTGTGCTTGCTTTTAGGCTGTATTTGATACCAGAGAATTTATGAAATTTGACAAGAGGCCTGTCGACCTAGTATAAATCTATCTTCTCGAATTGTTTTTTATCACATCGTAACAGTTAATAAAAGACACATACCTCACAAATTCGGTTGTATGCATAATAATAATAATTGTAATTTCAAAAAGGATGTTTTGATTTTGTTGTGAAGTCTTTATGAGTTTTTTTCTATCTTTTTGTAAAACTAAATTTTTAAATGTTACATTTGTGTGGTGATGATATAAACACCTCCGAATTATTATCATATCTTAAGTGACTTTACGACTGTGGCCAAAATAGGGTGGAAAATTGCAAGAATTAAATAAACCAGTTGGCAAATGCGGCGTTTCTGCATCCAGTATTTAATATGTTTGCATAACACTTTACTCTTGTTCATCATCGTTGTTCTTCTTTGCCCGAGACTAATTTACACCAGACTTTCATTTTGGTTTGTTTTTGTTTTGTTTCTTTAGTACTTTGATAACATTAAAAGACCTAGAATGATAGTTAGAAAATACGTTGTGCACAAATTGTTGGTTAATGAAGATTTCTTTACGGTGTCGACGACGCATTTGATAATGAAAATAAAAAACCAGTATGAAACTACTCAATCAAATGACTATTTGTTGAAACTCACTTTTCTATTGAATCTTTTGGTATTTACCGTTCCTACTACCAAGCATTTATAACATTTTTTGCGAAGAAATACAAGTGAAAATATCGAGGGAAAAATAAGATAACTTTTGACCATATCAGTGTGGTAGTATTGAAAATATTTCCTCGACAGTGTATTTCGGTACCCGTAAAGGTAGAGATTATGAAAAAAGCCCTACAGATAGGTGGAAACATTACTGTTTGGTCGTTATTCTAACGATCGGCGAAAATAGGGTCAGTTTAAATATACGATGTCTCGATTACAGGCGATAGACAAAAACACGTTTGAGTCGAACCATCGGATAAGTCGAATATTTTACTTGGTCCCATCGACTTCGACTTATCCAAGGTTAACTGTATCTTTACTAAATACGTAGATTATTACTTTCGTACCTTTACTTACATATGTTGAATTATTTGAAAACTTGTATCTTTGAAACGAAATTATTTTATATTACCCGGCGGAGTAATGACAACAGAGCAAGCAAATGGTGTAGTTGCCAAGACCAGGAGTGTAATATAATTTCTTCTATTTTTCCGCTTAAAACTGCAGTGCCGCTCATGGAACTAAAATTGAAATTGACGACCCCGTTAAGATTGAGACTCCATACGGCGGCCAGCTGGTATATGGTCTGCCCGGTGGTAGTCTCCTGTACGTCCATCTCAAGGACAAGAATTTAATTCGTCACAGGAAGAGATGGTCACAGGTAAGCTGTGCAAACAGTTAAACGTATCGTACAGTTATGACCCTTAGTATCGATCTATATGAAGGTTAATGAAACGGCGAAAATCAATATTGACAGAGGCGAATGCTTTGATAACAAATAGCTCAGGGAACCAAGATCATCACAGTTCGATCTAAAACCAGAAAACAGAATGCTCAATGATCCCATGCATTTTGATCTTATTCCACATCAGTGAAAAGCTGAAATTCAGGTAGAAAAAATCGTCAGTTTCCGCAGATAAAGATTGTATATAGATGTACACATTAAGCTGTCATATATGTGATGTATTGATTGTTTATATAGGTGATGTACATGTACTACCTGCTTGGTTTTCGTATAGGACAGAACATTGACTCCAAAAAAGATAAGTCTATCACAGACATATCTAGACTTGTATTCCAAAAGGTATATGTTGTCATCTTTATACACTACTTTATTTGAAATGCTGATGAACAGATTAATTTTGATTCGTTGTACTGTAAACGTGGAAATTTTCGCGGGGATTAATTTTGCGATTTTTATGGGTAAAATATACACGTGGGGGTTATTTTCGCGATCAATTTTTATTTTATTTCTTCTATAAGATTTAAGAACGTTACAAAAAATTACGCACTGGGGAAATTTCGCGATCTAACGACGTTCGCGAAATAAGCGTAAATTTCACCTTGGGACTTAAGTCACTGGTGGCTTGTTTTTCCTTCATTCTAATCACATTGAGTTCCCTGTTATTGACAGACCTTCAACACATTTATCTTGGCCTTGGATGGTGATGTAGATTTTACTCCCGACGCCGTTCGCATGCTACTGGACAAGATGAGGAAAAATCACCAAGTGGGCGCCTCGTGTGGAAGAATTTACCCCATAGGAAATGGTAGCAAGCAGTTTAAAGATTCTGATAACCCTTTGAATAGTCGGTCTATATCATGAAATATGTAATTGTTGAAAAAATGTATGCTACGTGATACAAATATATACGAAATAGTACATGACTCGTGCTGAAGAAACATATGTAATATATATTAAATAGAGAATGCCATGCTTCTATTATCCAAACACTGGAACGAATTTTCATTTTAATATCATATATCGAATATCAAAACGACAGAGGACATTATCTAGTCTCTATTATATGGACAAAGCAAGCATATAATTCCCATTCTAACAGAAATTTATATTTAAAAGTAATGCAAATGTGGGAATTACAAAATAAATTCTTTCTGAAAAATTTTCGTTCGAAATCGTTCCTAAATTCGTAGTCAATCCTTTTCTTCCTTTCAATAATTAATGATTGTCGAACCTGGTTATATAGATTAACTTATACCGTCTTTCTACGGTGGTACAGATAAACAGCGGACATTGTGTGTGATATAATCAACAGGAAGATCGTTTAAGAAGGAAGCACGATTGTTTCAAATAGAAAATTCTGATTCATTTCTCAATCTTTATAGAAGCTTTCAGCAAAGGTTGGAAACAATACCATGCGACAATTGACTTTATTTAGTATCACATAAAACAATCTACAAATTGTTGTTGATCGAGTAGATTGAAAATGATTATGCGAATTGTCCAACCAAAAATGCAATACATCACCATCATTATAACAAAATAATCTTTGTTCATTAAGGGAAAAAGTATTATAACATCTGTTTTGAATTCAGCAAATATGGAGAATTGTAGGTAATTACGTAATGTACCAGTTGATTGTATCACAATATCCACTACTTCTTTTACTTGAAGGACCTATGGTTTGGTATCAAAAATTTGAGTATGCTGTGGCTCACTGGCTTCAAAAATCTACTGAACACGTCTTGGGATGTGTTCTGTGTAGTCCAGGTTGTTTCAGCTTGTTCAGAGGATCTGCTCTCACGGACAAGAATATCATGCGGAAATATACCATTCTTCCCTCAGAGGCTGTACATCATCTCATGTACGATCAAGGTAGGTACACACTCTAAAGAGACGCGGTGAAATAAATTCTGAATGAAGCTAGACTTAAGTGGTAAAGTTTCATCTCCTCTATATCGTGAGGATAAACACACTTCATGTCAGTAATGCACATTGAAAATGGTATGGACAAAAACATGATAACATATACTACAATTTAATTGATATATTTTTTATTTGGAATACAGAAATGTAACTAGATAATCTTCATTATACAGGGGAAGACCGCTGGTTATGCACGTTACTGCTGAAAGGGGGCTACCGAGTGGATTATGCGGCAGCCGCAGATGCCTACACGTTTGCTCCTGAAGGTTTTGACGAGTTCTTCAATCAGAGAAGAAGATGGATGCCATCTACCATGGCCAACATCATAGATCTGTTACAGGATTCAAACGACACTGTGAAACGGAATGACAACATTAGTAGGCTTTATATCTTATACCAGGGTAAGTATTGTCAGTAATAATATCGATGATACCTTACCACAATGTGTTTATCTGTTAAGGTTTTTTTTCTTTATTTCACAGGAACACTTATGCTTTCAACAATGATCGGACCCGCAACTGTGCTGATGATGATTGCTGGCGCTATACTTACTGTGTTCCAAGTTGAGTTGATGCAATCTTATCTGATATCGTGTCTACCAGCGGCAGCATTTTTCTTTCTTTGCTTCTGGGTCCCACAGAAATTACAGTTATTTCTTGCAAAGCTTCTCAGTGCATTTTATATGCTTATTATGACTGTAGTACTGGTGGGATGTATAGTAACGGCAGTGGAGGAAAACCCTTTCCATCCAAGTGTCATATTCCTCGCAGGATTGATGTTGATTTTCATTTTCGCTGGTATCCTTCATCCAATGGATCTAGGCTGTCTTATGTTGGGAACACTGTATTTTATCGGATTACCAATGGGTTTCCTGCTTTTGGTCATATACTCACTGTGCAATCTACATGTGGTATCCTGGGGAACAAGGGAGGTCAGCAGTGTTAACAAGTCTAAAAAGGAATTGGAGGAAGAAGCGGAGCAGGCAAGACAAAATGAGCTAAACAGGAGCCGTGGGTTTTTCGCGAGGTTCTTTCCGGATGTTCAAGTCTTAACATTACTTGAAGAATGGCGCCAGAAAAAGAAAAAAGATGACGAAACAGCAACCATTATCAAGGAGTTGAGCTTGAAAATTGATAATTTGGTAAATGCGTTGGGGACTAAGAAAAGTCATACTGGAGTGATGTCACCGAGCACCAACAATTCGCAGAATTCCACAAACACCGAGGAATCAGATTTTAAGAACAATACCAGAACAATCAACCATGCTGCCCGACATCCAAGGAATACCCCGCATTGGACAACACTTAAATGGTTAGGTAGTGATCAGGGTATGGAGTTACAGGCACCAGAAAAAAAGTTTTGGGAGGAGTTCATCGAAAAGTAAGGATGTAATCTTTTTCCAAATATAAGTAAATACATGATACATGATATACATAAGAATAAAGGATTTACTTATATTCTGGTTAGGAACTTTTATCTGTAATTAACTACGGTGTGTGGTGAGGAAGGACTCACATTATTGTTACATAGATTTCGTGTGAGTGTTAAAACATCAAATAATGGCTGATGTCATTCGTCTAGGAAGTTTAAGGTATCTTAATGCATAGAGCTAAAACGTATATACGCGATTAAAAAAATTATCATATACTCACGCAAATTTTTTTCGGGTGTTGAATAATACAAAATGCTTTTGTCCACGGTGGACAAATTTTGGATTTCAACAGCCATCGATATATTGATTAAATGCCAAAGCGTAAAGAAGTTATATAGGACATTAGCTTAAATTTCACACCTAGTACTAAATATCACCCCACCCATGATCCTTCTGGCAGTATTAAAACACCAAAAATATGTGTTCTTGATCAAAAGGATTGTAGTGTTAGGAAGAAATTCTGCATTTTGGAATTGAAAAAAAACAAACAGTTTGCAAAATTTCGTTAAATTTGCAGATAACAAGGATTGTAGTGTTAGGGAAAAATATATTTAGAATTGAAAATACAAACAGTTTGCAAAATGTCGTTTATAAGTCAGACCAAAACGTTAATATTTCATGACGTCAACAATGCCATTAAATTAACGATTAAGAATAAGAAAAAAAATCCCCAAATTTAACAAAGATTAAAAACGATTGGTGTGTGTGTGTGTGTGTGTGTGTGTGTGTGTGTGTGTGTGTGTGTGTGAGGGAGTGTGTGTGTGTGTGTGTGTGTGTGTGTGTGTGTGCTTGCATATGTATGTACATACGACAAGGTTACTTGTAAATGGCTACCTCTAGTTCCGTATTGTTTTATTTGAAAACTTGAAGTATTCTTATTTTTTATGTGATTGGTGTATATAAGTTACATTTAGTGTAATATAATATAATGAAATATTTGTATCAATATTCTGCAGTACTTTTTTATCCACTTATAATCCTTAGGTATCTTGCGCCTTTAGATGCCAACTCGAAGATACAGAAAGAAAACCAGGACAAATTGCTTGACTTGCGTAATGGAGTCTGTGGTGGGATTTCCGTTATCAATGTTATTTGGATTGCAGTAAACTTCATGTTTCAACTCCGTGGACCAGGACTTGTTTCTATTCCAATCCCGTCTGTGAGTATAAATATAGAACCTCACAAAGGATTCACTTATACACAGTTGTTAAAACCTGTAAGAATGGTCCATCATTATATATTTGTCGTTAATTTCATTTAATTTTCATCTCAGTCATTCTGTTATCCTTTTAGTAGAAATTATACTTTTGACATGGTAACGTCAGAGATTATCAGGAAACATACTTCGTATCATTCACGAAAAAAGTGGAATGTGAAATATTACAAATTCCAATGAAGGATCGAAGAAATAGTCACTTCACATTATCTGTAATGGCGTTGTTCCTCACATTCGGGAAATTTGTGTAGATGTTAAAGTCAAGTTTAAAGCACGACATAAAAACCGCCGAATCAAACAAAAAGACTGCGAGACACAAAGTTACGCCCACGTCGCCAATGCGTTGGTTTGCCACTGTCACCTCAACGTCGAGCACGTCGTATGCGATGGTTGACGGCACATATGCCAGGACGTTTTCCTATGAGACGTTGGAGGTCCATGTCTTAACGGAGGAATCGCGATTCGCACTATTTCGATCAGATCATCGTCAACATGTGTACCGGCGACGAGGAGAGCGTCTTGCAGACCTATGTGTTATGGAGCACGGCAGATTCTGGGGAGGATCGGTTGTGATTTTGGGAGGAAGTTCCCATGGTTTAATGATACCTTTAGTGATCATTAACGGGAATTCAACGGCTGTACGCTATCGAGATTCAGAGTCCTCATGTTGTGTTTTCATCAAAAAGTGCCATATGACTTTTCAGTTTGATAACGCTAGGCCACAAGTTGCAAGAACTTTTAACGACTTTCTTGCAACCCAGAACATCGACTCAATTGATTGGCCTCCATATAGCCTCGATTTGTCTCCAATCAAACACTTATGGGATGAATTAGACAAAAGAGTTCGGAATAGAGCGAAATCTCAAGTAACCTCCAACTGGCCAATGATCGAGAGTCAATGTCATTATGAACTCTCCTATATATGTTTGGGGGAGGTCACATATGATATTAGGAATAGATACAACAATTGCCGTTATTTCAATACTTTGTACATTAAGGTACCCTCACTCATGGTGACCAAAACATTTTAAAAAGTTTTTAAAAAGTCAAAAATATTTAAAGACGGTACAATATTCGAAGTTAACGATTCCATTTCACATTTAAGGCATATTACTCATCAGTATTATTTGATTAAATCGTTAATTTGAATTGGTTTCTTTTTCCGCGGTGCATATATGATTTACACATGCATTCGTGTCTGTGATATATATTAATATATACATACATACCAAATGGATTAAGGGGTGCATCTTAATTTTTAAATATATGTTTGCGGTACCTTACTTCTAATGTGATTGAACTGGATGAATCAGACCCAGTAGATAACGCAATAATCGTTCCCATAACCTATCACAAATACCAAGATTTAATGTTTTATCTTCATTGAAAATTCTGAAAAAAACACCGAAATCAACGTTGTAATGATGGAATGGGATAACGCTGTCTAAAAGCATTCAATTCATACACATATCCTAATGTTTTAATGCTGGTTCATTTTTTTTTTTTTTTTTTTTTTGTGACAAACATTTCTAAAATATGGTAAGCTACAAAACAGCGAGCTTCATATAATTACGAATTAAAGTGTCATTTCTGTCCCTCATTTTGAGGTGTACATAAAAGAACAACATGACATCAACAATTCTAGTATCACTCTAATTTGCAATTGCAGCTGTGGGGCGGAGAGGATCAGAGACAAGAATACCTCCAAGTGGACGTAATAGGAATTTCATTCGTCTTATTCTTCATGATACTGATGCTTATACAGTTCTGCGGGATGGTGATGCACAGATGGGGCACCATGCTACATTTGTTAGCATTTACCGAACTGATTTGGCCATGGTCAAAACCAGCATTGGAAGAGAAAAGAGAACAGTTTTTAACCGAATTAAGTGAAGGGAATAAGCTACAGCACCAGTATGAATCCATTCGAGACCTTAGTAAATCCGAGAAACGAGAAAAATTAAAAGAGATTATTAAGCATATTCAGAATAACGGTACAAAGCCCGTAGAAACAACACCAAACAAAAGTATAGCTGAAAGGACCAAGATCCTTAACCAAACACTACGTGCTAGAAAAAACACATTCAATCAGCCAGAAGTAGGAACAGCTGATTATAACTTACGGATGACCATCAGTCAAGTCCGAAAACGATTAGGTAAGTCAGGACTCCAAAATGACCCATATGATCCCATTCCAGATTACGATTAAGTCTGTTTTTATACATTCAGCATTATCCTGGTTTGGCTCATGTGAAATAAACAAAGGAAATCATATATGAAAAGCATTTTTGTCCCATAGCTTAGAATCATCAACATATATACTAGATAAGAGTTCCGAATACACGGACATGTTTTCACGTTGTTAGAAAATAATCAAGTATCCTTGATTATACAGAAAACAAATTTATAGACGCTAGGCTTCATATCTTACTTACTATTATTTCGGCTAATACATATTTTCGTTCATAATCCTTGAGAATATTGAGACTAACGACGCTGTTAATGTACTACCATAGTTTTCCTTAGGAATATTAAGGAGCTCGTAAGCATAAAAGAACAATAAACGATGTGGGATGAAACCTTATTGATATTTTGTGAACACAAATGTTATACTTTATTGAATGTCGATTTACATAAGAATGATAGATTGACATAACTGTAACAAGCATTTTCACTAAGTTAAGAGTTAGAAAAAGCCAAGATAAACGGACATATAAACTGGCTGGTTGATTTAGTGATTTAAATCTAAGTTAACTAGTGTGATCAATGAGCAGCTAATTTGTGTATTGACATTTCTCTATCACTATAAAAGACAACATTTGTAAACAAATGTGTTTGCTATAATAAGGCGGTAAATACAAACATGATCATTATTACTTTAATGTACTCGCATGATATTCTGACGCTTATATCGTCAAACGTTATAGGTTTTTATAACTGATAGTTATAAGTCTATAACATTTACAATGTGACTTAATCAAACATTTTGCTTTATAACAAAACATGTTTATTGTCAAAAGATAGACAAGGAATTATTGCAACTTATCAACGGTCTTATTGTGGGAAGAAACCGGAGTACCCGGGGAAAACCCACGGGGTCGGGCAGGTGACCCCAAACCTTTTCACGTCCGTTCCGGGAATCGAACCCCGGTCGGCTAGGTGAAAGGCGAGTGCTTTACCACTGCGCCACCCGACCACCCTTTTCAATCATACTTCACAGGTATTCAACTTTCATATTCAAATTTGACAAACACGCTCTTTCATTCAAAAGACGAACATTCACATCGTAGAAGCAAACTTCATGCAATGGCTTTGGGAATGTATTTAATGTTGGCTAAGATTATTTATTGTTATTGTTCATGATTTTTGTTATATACATTGTATTGTACTTTCTGATGTTCTATGCCACATTTTCCATATTAGCTTATCTTACTTTCTATTTCATCATAGTGCATTGGTTTTTTTTTTAAAAATCCTTACTGATCAGCGCTTTCCGTTTGAATTGTATGTGTCTGTTACCCCATATAATTTCGTTTCTTATGTCTGCAAAATGACCACCATGAGCTTTAACATTTGTGGTTGTATATCGTGATTGTACTGTCGCAAATATCTGCTACGCGACTCCACCAAAACTAAATTTGCTGCGGTGAATCAAAAGATACCTCAGATTATCTCAGTGACATGGTCTTGTTGTAAAGACAATGCAATTACTGTCCAAAGTGTACCTCGCTGTCATTTCAAGTGTGTGAACATGAAAACACACAATGTATGCATGTTTCCAGATAGCCGGTATATATTCTACATAATCGTTAATCGTGCAATATCCCTGCATCCCAAAACTATGTGTAACATGGTGCATTGCACATCATTTGTAATTCATTGTTAATATTTGTTCCCTAAGGTTTTATTAATATAATGCGATATCGATATTGTCTATTTCACATGGCTGCCACGTGATCCAAATGTACAATGTATGTTAACACTACATGTATATCAATGATATTAATTATTTATTATTTGGTATAATCGTATCATATCCTACTGATAGGCTCAGAATATATTACCAACGAGTACATACTTTAGATAAAATATTTAAAGTTTATTCACGGAATAAAAATAACTGCGTCGACCAACTCTGTTGTGTTTTTTTCTGCTGGTTACATATGATGTTAACATACCTCAGTTGATTCTATATTCAAAGGTTTGACTCAGTGTCAAAATTTTCTGAAAAGATATCGACGAATTACAAACTCAAATCACGGGAATTCGAAAGCTTCTGGTTTAATATCATGGGAGAAAATCTGCGGTCGTCATAAGGACCTCATAGGAATATATTGTATCATAAAGGATGTGTTTGATGCTCGTTAGTATACCTGTTGGTTCTGGTGTTGTTTTAACGTATTCTCTTCTGAGAACGTGAACTACTTACCTGGATTGGTCAAGATTTACATGGCGGGTGTCGCTGATGTAGCATAAGAAGCATATTTTTTTGGAACACCTGGTCTTATGTTTTAGTTTGGATTTGATTGGGCTGACATTTTGATATTTTCTTATATGTCACATCATAGATAAAAAAAAAAAAGCTGTGGCGTGTTCTTATTAGGATAATTATACTGCTTGTACATGTGTATGCAATCAGTTTAAATTCTTTAAGTTATTTGTTTTAATTATCTTTTTATTTATCGTTAGATGTTAATAGTAATATGAGTCTTTTATAAAATCCTTTAAAAATATTCAAGAAATTCATAAAACAACCCTTTAAGTGCCAGGACGAAGTTCTCACTAAAACGTGCAATTGACAATAAAATCACTAAATAAGCACACTTACGTATACAGCTGCGTAGACGTATTGTATTGTATTTACCATAGGAATTCAATCACAAAATGTCACATATGCCAAATTTTGGCTTTTTTTGCAAAAATTGAGTTTCTCCATTTCTTACAAGGCTTAAAAAATGACCCTTTTCATCACAGACGAACCCTAGAAGGATGAAACTACTGTACGATGTAGTTTAACATATCGTTTAGTTTCAATGTAGTTCCAAATTTCTTTTAAAAGATATTCTTCTTTAGTAGGTCTTTTAACTTATACAAAGAAGGTGTGAAAGACTGTGAAGACATATGTGTAACACAACTTTATTGCTAAATAGTGTCTACAACAATAATACGAACTGCCCAAAGTATATTTAACAAATATCTAAATGAATGCTTAGTGTTATAGCACATAGATAGATACATCTCATATATAACCTTGTTGTTAATATTATTTAACAAGTACATCAATAACCGTTTACTGTTTAGTATATTAAACCTATTTATGATAAATATGAATCACTTCTTGTTCCTTTAGAATAAAGCTATACACAATGGCATGTACGTATCGTTCGTTTGAAATTATAAGATATATGAAAGTTCCAAATATTTAATAATGAGGTTTTCACACCTCCAAACTTAGATTTTGTTATAATTTTCGTTGAGTTTTGATATCAATTAACTGCTTTTTTGAGCTTCCAACTTTCAGCCATCAGCATCACTTGGGGGATAAACCAGCTGTATCGTGCAGTTTACTTCATTGTCTGGCTCTAATAAGTAACTTTTCACTTGTGAGTCTCACAAAAACAAGTTTTGAAAAAGAAGGCTTATTTGCAATAGGATAATAACACAGTCGTGAACGTGAACCGTCTTAACTGGCATCAAAGGAAATACATGATTATAACCCAGATAGGTTGTGGAGTAACAGTAAATGTGTCAATACCTGGAGTGTATCCGTAGTATTTCTGATAATAATTACGTTATGTCGTTAGATAGATGACATCATAATTAGTAAACATAATTGATATATATAGTCTAAATAATAGGCTATAGTGATGATTATCAAACATTAACATGCACCATGATAAAAGAGAAGACCAGACAAATATCTGCTGAATCGGATGTCTGGCAATATCAACAGAGATTATTGTTTATAAAACCAGTAGGATCTACAGAGATTATTGTTCATAAAACCAATATGATCTACAGATATCATTGTTGATAAAACCAGTAGGATCTACAGAATTAATTGTTTATAAAACCATTAGGATCTACAGATATCATTGTTGATAAAACCAGTAGGATCTACAGAATTAATTGTTTATAAAACCATTAGGATCTACAGAGATTATTGTTTATAAAACCAGTAGAATCTACAGAGATTATTGTTTATAAAAACCAATAGAATCTACAAAGATTATTGTTTTTAAAAGCAGTAGAATCTGCAAAGATGACTGTTTATAAAACCAGTAGAATCTACAAAGATTATTGTTAATAAAACAATTAAGATCTACAGAGAGAAATTATGGTTAATAAAATCAGTAGGATCTAGAGACAACTGTTTATAAATCCAGTTGAATTAAATGACGTTTTCCTGTGTCAATCTAAATACGCTGTAACCACTATTTGCATGTTAACATATATCAGGGGAAAAGTCAACAAAACTCAGCAATAACACTGTTTATGACCTCGGCATATAACTGTCGACTTCAAATAATCTGACAAGTTCGCGTTATTTACAATACACGTATACAATTTTATCTACTGATATTTTATGATCACATGTTCGAAATCAGGAGGTGAATCAGTATATGGGTCGCTTCAATTAGACAAAACAATTGGTCATCGCCAAGTGTATCAATTTAAATGATAAAAGAGAAAACAAAATAAGGCCCTTAACATCACTTATGGGTCCTAGTTGGTCATCGCTTAGCTCTACACTCTCTATTTCTAAATTTGAATGAAAGGTTGTATTCACTTGTTTGTCTTTTGTACAATCCTCAGACGTGACCACAATGTCTTGGCTACATATGGTTACATACTCGTGTTTTTCAATTTTTAAAAATTAGAGGGCATTGAGTTCGCTTCGCCACGTACCATTTAGTTGCGATCGCTGCTCCTGGTGTCTATATTTCTTGAGTTTCATAGAGAAAGCTTTGTCCATAACACCCACAGCGGGGATAGTATCATAAATGGGATCAGAGTCTTCTTCTGAATCATCGAACGCATCCGGGTCGTATCCATCTCTTCTGAGAGTTTGACTTGGGCGTTCTTTTTTGAGGAAATCTTCTGGTATGTTTGGCAGTTTTCTGTTCCTTACTGCACTCATAAAATGTCTTTGAAAGGGCATACTCGCACCAGAGCGTAGTCTTGGATTGTCCTTTGATGTATCCTTAAAGGTATTGGAACTTTTCTCAGTTTTCTTTTCCACGTTGATATCTAAGAGACGATTTTCCCTCACAGTCGTACGTCTGATCACTGATTTAACCAGAATACTTGCTACACTGGTTTTCCAGTTTGAACTGATGCCAATTCCGCTTTGCCTGATACTCTTACCGAGGGGATTGGTTGAACCAGGCATACTTTTTGTTCCTTTGACCTGTATATTATTTATAACTTCCACCATAGCCCCTATAACTTGCTCTTCCTCTTCCTCTTCGTCGTCACTGTTCATGGGAAAATCAGAAATCCGCTCGGAATCTAACTTTCCGCAAAATTCTAGCAATTTCTCGGCAACATACTTGGAATTTCCGTTTTCGATATCTGTGTCTTCAACTTTTCTTTGAAATGGGTTTGGTATAAACGTTATCGAAATCAAATGCAAGAATGTTCCCCATCTGTGTACCAACATTCCAATGAATTGAATCAATATCATAAGGCTGAAAAATAAAACGAACAGCATACCAAGTACGTCAACCTGAAAATTCTCGGTGTTCACGTCGGCATCGTCAACATCACTCTGAAACAATAACATTGCAAAATAAGTAAAGAAGTATCTGTAGTTAGACTCGGTTAATATTTACCAGTTGTCATGTTAGTATTTTGAATATATATCACAAGATGAAATAATGTCTCTTAATCAATAGCGAATTATATAATAATTATTTCTTGTTTTGCTATCAGTAAGATATCAAAAGTAGAGGAGAGAATAGATACGTTTTTAAAGAATGAACTTGGTATCTCTTCTATGATTGTTATTGTAATAATTTCATATCGATGGTAGCATGTAACTTTGAAATGATCATACTTCAAAGAACATTGAAAGAAGATTTTCTTCGCTGCTTAGTTTTAGTTAAACATTACTCACCGGTACAGCGAAATAGATCATGGCCGGCTTTCGGAGCTGAAACATGAAATTGATGGCAATCCAAACAAGGTTGAGGATTGCTATAGCAGCACACGAACTGTTGCGGAATTCCAGTAGTCGAGTTTTGATTTGTTTCTGAGAGGCTGCGGACAGGTTTAATGGATAAAGGTACCTTTAAAAGAAGCAAAACCGTGGTTTTTGTTAAAGAACAACGTAAGATTAGTTTCAAGTAAAGGACAATTTGCGCATGAAAATGTTACTGGCACTACGTTTGCCAAACACATGGATTTTGTTTATTTCATTTATCTAATAAGATTTTAAATCATACTGAATATGACAGTCCGCGAGATTGTCTTTGTTTTTATGTTACTATCATACTTGAAAAGGGAACTTTTTATCGGCGCGGAGAAAAAAAACTCATTTGTTGTGAAGAATGGATGTTTAACCCCATCCCACTTATGACCGACTTTGCATGGTTCTTTTGTTACGTACCATAACGCTTTCTCAACAGTAATTTTTGATGAAAAAAACACCGACTCGTTAAGCGCCCCATTCAGAATATATTGTTAGAGGAATTGCTCCATAAAAAAAATTAAACATAAAAAATAAATGAAATCCAATCCCTATGTAGAACCTCACATCAAGGCACAGTACAATGCCTTAACTATATCGAAATATTCTTTCCTTCTTGTAGCATAATTCGGATGAAGTTGATCTACTAAACAATCTGTGAGACAGTCAACACAAAGTTTTCATACACAGAGTGAAAACAGAATGGTGTGTACGACAACAATGGTCAGGTGGCACAGTGGACAATCCCATCTACTATGATCTTTGAGATCAGAGATTCTATAAAAACAATACAGTCATTTGCCCACCATGTCGACACTACAAAAATGTACACCGTTTACCTCTCATCGAAGCGAAAACAACTGTATTATAACAGTTGTATAATAGATAACGTTTATAATTGAAATACCTTTTGATTAAACTTTTCCAAAAATCCTCTTCTGCAGGGTTCAATTTTAGTATTCGCCCATTTCCTAGTGTGTGAAGTTTTTCCCAGTTTGGAGAAAGCATCTCAGTTTTCGTGTTCGAATTCATTGCATCCCCCAACTCCTCTACCTCCTCTCTATGAGAAGATATTGGAATTCCGTCAAATCTGACAGTCTTCTCAATGGTAGGACTTGGCTTCTTTAGAACGACAACCTCAGGTATGACTTCAGCATCCTGCATATCTATGTCATCGCCGATTCCGACATTTTGTTTTTGTTTCAGTAGTAATTCAATCTTTTTGTTCATGGCTCTCAGAATGTCAACCCTTCCATCGATTCTATTATTTTTCAGTCTTATTTTTGTGAGTACGTCAACAATATCACTGAATCCCAGTTTCGGCATTAAACGAGCAAGGAATCCTTGTTTTTTTCTTTCTTCTTTTTCTTTCCTTAACTTCTCCTCTTCTGCAATTTCATGTGGAGTTTTCTTCTCTTGTGATTCCCTTGTCCCCCAAGATATGATATGCATATTGCAAAGAGAATATGTTACAAGGAGTAGGTAACCCAATGGAATACAGAGGTAGTACAATGCTCCATGCATGATGCAGCCGAATTCATGAGGATGGAAGCAGGCCGTAAGGAATGTTAAAATGATCAGTGACTCTATGAATATCACACTCGGATGAAGAGCATTTTCTTGGGTAGCTATGATTAAACAACCAATAAAAACGACCGTCATTACAAAAATGTAACACACACCTAGAATCTGTGCTGCTATAATTTGGGACTTGGGTGTCGCATTGAAGCACAGAAAAATATACAAGACAGCAGGCAAAGTGGCGAGGAGGTAGGCAGTGGTTATGTCTGTACCAAAGACAGATCCAAAAGCTCCAGCAATCATCATCACGATAACTCCTGGTCCTAACACTGACGCGGCCATAAGAAAATCTGAAATAGATATAAAATAACGTATAACGTTTACACACTTTATCTCATTGTTTTTTGAAAGCATTTTTATAGGTCCTGATACTTCATTACTTGTCGTTAGGAGACAAGAAAATCAGTTAGAAGTGTATTCAGTTCCAAAAAAAAAATTAATCTGCACCCGATAATTCCTGTATAAACTTCATATATTCACTTTGGATAATCATCAGCATCTTCACAATTTTTCGAAGACAATATCAAGATCTCTACTTCCCACTTACATTGGTAGGCAATATAAAACCAGCTAATGTTGTTGTTGATTGCAACAGTGTTTTTCCCATCCTGCAAAAGCTCCATGATATTTGCGATAGTTGACGGGATCCAGCGTCGTCTTTGATTGAAGAACTCTTCAAATCCTTCTGGAGCGTATGTAAATGCATCTGCAGCGGCCGCGTATTCCACACGGTATCCCTGCTGTAGAAGAAGGGTACACAACCAACGGTCTTCACCTATGTATTAATAATGCAGATTAAAAAGTCTTTGCATTGCATTATTTTATTCTTTTTATAACTCTCAATTATTAAGCTAGCATGAAACATCAGCAATATTTCTAAGAATATTACTAATGGCATCTGAAATATTGCAATACCTCTACATTATCTGTACCTGCAACTGTAATTCAAAATATTGTAAAATTTTTGTATCATCTGTACATACAAAATATTGTTATACTTCTAAATTAACAGTACCTGCAAATGCAAATCCTCTACATTATTTATTATTCTTATAGTTATGCTGAATAGCACAATCTGTCGGAACATCTGTTCGATTAAAAGAAGTATTTCCGTACTATCGAGTTTCTTGATGGTTTTGCAACCGCAATCTTCCAGGTAAGGTGCCGAGAGAATGTTTGATATTAGTCTGTAAAAATACATGCTAAGCATCTAAGATAATTTGGCTCAGAGTACTTAAATTTCATGGCTCAAAACATTAACAAAATTACTAAGGATTTTTTTTGTCAAAATGATCAGAAATAAGAGTCAATGGTAAACAAATACGACGGCCAGGAGAATTTTTAGTCACCATTTTTTCTTATTTTAAGACAGCAAGTTTAGTGATTTTTTCCTAATTTTGGGTGTGCACATATCGCACAGGAGGATTCAATATTCCTTGGTGTCTAGAAAATATCGAAACATAGAAATTCATTTGCAAGTGCCGTCAACGAAACAGACGAGGCTTCCTCTTTGAACTGAGTATTCATACTAAGACTACAATCCGTGGTAACGAGGACAATAATGCAGACCCCTGTATCTTAGCTATCTTATGGAGTGTCTTCGAACAGCATATATCACATATTATTTACACAAAAGGTAACAAGAGTGCTTTGTATAAGATGATGAATCAGACCGCAACGTTTCAGGAACAAATAATATAAACAAATCGCCAAACTCGCATAGAGATAGAGTAGTTATTGTATACTCGCAATCATTTCACCACTAAAATACATTTAATAGAAGCATCACACATGCAATCGTATACGTCACTTCTATATTTTCAAAGACAGAGAATCAGCTTTAGGTCTAGCGATAAGAAGGAACTATGACTTTATTCGACCTGTTTTCTAAGCAAGTAATGAGAGGATCACAATAACTTTAAAACTAGTCTAAAAGACCAATTAAACGGCGACACTTTGTGTTAGGATTCATTCTGTGTTTTAATATTACCTTGGTCGTACATGAGATAATGAGACGGTTCAGAGGGAAGTATCGTAAATTTTCTCATGACGTTGTCATCCATCAATGACGATCCACGAAATATGCTGAAACATCCGGGGCTGCACAACACACAACCGATCACGTGCTCTGTGGCTTTTTGAAGCCAATGGCCCATGGCATACTCAAACGTCTGGAACCATACTACTGGTCCTGTGTATTACAACAAAAACAAAACCCAAAACCATACATATCAGGGTATCTTGTATGCACACTAAACAGAGGATGTGAACTTCAAGTTTTCATGTATAATACACATTGTTGAAAAAGTGCAAAAATGTTTGTAAGAATAATACTTCAACTTCTGAGATGAAAATGATTTATGCTATTTGAAGCTATTCCATCATACTTTTGTTTAGCATTCTTTTTCAGTTATTTGATAGCTATGATAACATAATATAATGACGAATACAATATAGAAACGCAAATTCATAAGTCTATATCACTATTGGAAAACATATCAAGATAATATTTTATCACCAGCTACAATTTGCAAGATTTAGAGAAGAATCATCCTGAACAACCTTCTCTCCTCTCCATCTGCTGACTTGTTAACTAAGTTAGAGACAACAATAATAAAAATATCCTGTAAGATTAATTGTGTTAAGGGTACAACATAACAAAAACGTAAACTTTGCTTGATAAAATTTGTTCATATTGCAAAAAAAAAAAAAAAAAATATTTTAAAAGTTAATTTTATCACATTTGGAAAAGATTATCACAAATTTCCTTGTTTACACACCAAATATGTTTAAACATACGTAGCATCTCAACACAACCAATACAGCATGTATGATGAAATGACTTCTAAGTTTAGGAATAACACAAGTTGTTTATTATTTGAATGATACAGCTTCAGGTTGTACTTAGTGATTACATCAACATTTCTTTCCAAATATAGATTTTCTTTGTACTGATCACGTACATGTGAATTTATTAAATAATGAAAAACGTTAGGTTAAAAGTACATGTACCTTTGCCGACAGGATGAATCCGACCAGACACAGCGCCAACTCTGTCGTTTTTCTTCAACTTGTCTATCAACAAATGCACTGCTTCTGGTGAGAATTCAACATCCCCGTCTAGAGCCAAGAGAAATGTGTTTTGTGCCTGTTAGAAAAAAGGTAAACCATATACACAGGTAATGCCACGAATAAAGAGCTGGTCTAGTTGGCATTACTTCACATAACATACACAGGTAATAATACGAATTAAGTACTGGTCTAGTTGGCATTACTTCACATAACATACACAGGTAATAATACGAATTAAGTACTGGTCTAGTTGGCATTACTTCACATAACATACACAGGTAATAACACGAATTAAGAACTGGTCTAGTTGGCATTACTTCACATAACATACACAGGTAATAACACGAATAGAGAGCTGGTGTAATTGGCATTATCTAACACAAAAAACACTAATAGATAAAATCTTAATTCAGTTAATAAAGTATATGAAAACATGTATTCACCCGGTACAATACTTCATCGTCGAGGAAACTGAAGATCTGACTTTTTTCCACTTTTCCTGTGTTTTCCTTCTGGAATTTACGCCAACTGATCAATTGGTTGAAGTCATCTCTGTTGATGGCCGACAAAACAACCTCCTGACATTCTTTGAGAATACGATAGCCCAGTAAATAATACATATACATCACCTAATGAAGATAAATACTATAATTAGATAGGCAGGCCTGAATTTTAAATCAATTATCTGAATACAGCATTTAATGTCTTATTTTTCTGCATACGACAACTAAATTAAATGAAGCCTTTAAATGATAGAAGTATGCCAGTGGTAGTATTTCTTTCTATCCAATGTGTGAAACGCTAATGTCGATATGCGGATGTATTCTGCTTATTACTAGTGTGAGAACCTTTCTGGATGTTTAATCAGCTGGAATAATGGTATATTTCTTCTATAGCTATAAACTATCCTATGACTCTAAGCAATTGATTTCTAAGTTTTAAACGACGTCAAGTTCCAGAGTCTCAATCTACACGTGAATGATACTGCCTAATTATAGTTTTACCCGTTGTTGTTTGTGATACACTGTCCATAAAGAAAACCATCTTTCTTCACCATTCACGAAAGGATAACCAATGGAACCCACCTTGTTCATTTCATCAACAGGTACAACCCTCGAGGGACAATCCTATTTCTATCATACATGTCCAACTATCATTATTTAGAAATTATCCTTTTCTGTTTCACAAAGCAACGTTAGTCAAAAGCTTCCGTACCTGGGACCATCGTTTCTTGTTCCGAATTTTCTTTTTGTCCTTCAGATGCACGAAAAGGAAATTTCCCCCCGGCATGAGGAAAACCAGCTGACCACCGTAAGGTGTCGGGATCTTAATAGCATCATTTATCGTTAAAGCTTTTTCGTGAACAGAGCTGAAATAAAATTTTATATACAAAATTAAAAGGATGTAATATAACATGTAAACCCAAGACATAAATACTTGACACCGATAAGATATTACTTTACAAAGGTAATTTAATCCGGTGTTGGAAACAGAAATGGAATTAACCTATCGATAAGTTTGACTCTTCACATCTAAGGTGTTTTTGGCTTGCTAATAATCACCGGATTGTCATACAGGAATAGGATTTATCTTGCTGGAATACAGGGTCATTATGTGCCCAAACATTTTTATTAATTATAACCAACAGCTTCTACCATATATCCTTACAATTTCAACAAATCTAATAACTGAAAAAAAATAATGAAATGGTCATACATCTATTGAAATGAATTATGCTTCAAATGAAGTTATACCTCGGGTCAAGTGCAATTAAAATTGCATGATATAGGGGGAAATATCACCAATCAGATTTGGGAATAACCGAACGAAATGGAGTGGGTGGGAATGGATGGGGAGAGGGGATGGGGGTTTAAAATAGTTTCTATGTTCACCTGGCAGCTTCCTCCATCACCGCCACCATCTCATTTACAAAGGAGTTTGGCACTCTCTCATTATCAGCATTTGTTTCGAAAGCGTCGTCAAAGAAAATGTGAGCTGTGAACATAAAAATGAAAGTAGAAATCGCAGAGAAGACATGAAATTTACCTATCTGTAAATAGATGTCTTTAGGTATACTCCTTAAGTATCAATAAAAGCAGAGATGACTGAAAGAACACGCCGTAGTACAATGTCTATCACAGTTTCGATTGAGTTCACATGTTATGCATGTGTTGTACCCAAAGTAAGTTGTAAAATGTGTTGGCCGGGGTATGCACTGGGTATCTACTAATGCATGTTGAGGAACACTGGCTAAACATACATATACATTAGATATAGTGGATGAATATCTTGTACATGACTGGTCCCTATATGGACAGCAAAGTATTGGGTGTCTGTATGCCAAACTACAATATACTTGTAAAATAAATGGTTCGCAGGCGCTGAAGTGTACTGCTGCCTGTAGGTATGACAACTTATGTAGCTGCTAATGGCTGGGTGTCTATGAGAAATATCATCTGCGTAAAAACTGTGTCAATTATGTTGTGTGTCTCATATCTGTGAAGGACTGAGTGCCCAGAAAGGGGTCCGGGTGAAGATACCTAGGCCTCTAGTAGCAACATGTGCAACCTTAATTTGACTTAATGGCTTTAGTGTGTGTTATCTCGACTGAGTAACTTGGGCTACCCATTTGAGCTGTAGATGTTTTCACAATATTGATTATTTTTTGTATACAGTTATAATTATTGTTTATCTTGCGAATCTTTGCACTCGTGTACATGTATAGAAATTTGGGAAACGGGCGAAAGCATGAGTGACATGTGTGCATTATGTATAAATTCATTGGCCTCTGAAATGTGCATAAACTGTTTGTATTTCTTGGTTATGGTGGTTTTCTCAGTTTTAAAGCTATCATACATCTGGAAAATGAATTCATTAGGGCATATTTACTCACGCTCATATTCGTAGTAATCCACGTCTGCAGGCGTAACATCAAATGTGGTAATAGCCTTCTTCCGGAGAAATTGATCCTTGTCCATTCTGATAAAATGCGAATTAATTCTGGTTATTATATGAAGACCAAACTGACGCGTTTTATTTTCGAGTTACTTCCCTTTGTACAACTGCCTGTTGTCTTTCGATTCATTGGTTCAGAGTATACCCATGTACTCGCCGTTCCTTGGAATCAATCAGATTTATTATGAAAATTACGAAATGGGTTGAATTATGGAACGAATCCAATCATCTTGACTTTTTTCTGATCATATTTTTTTTCATTCGCTTTATAGGTTTGTAATTATGCCCTTGCCATCCCTTGGACGAAACAGCTGTTTAGTTCATTGTTTGGAGCTACTGTATCTAACAGAATAGTACCATTTGCTGGTGTGTTGTTGTTTAATATGTGAGACCAGAAAGTTTTAATACATCTTATCGGTCACTAGAAGCACAACATTTGATATGTAAAACATACAATTTAAATTGTGATACAATATACACAGTGTGTACAAATATTAATGATGGTAAGAATAATAAGAAAAACTGCATTCATTGTCGTTATCGTGGAAAACAATCATAGACATCGTTACCAAAGTAAATGCGGAGCAGACTTCTTTATAATTACGTGATTTAGTTATCCACAAGACATATGGTGGCCATGTCTCTAAGAACGGTGTTAGGGAGTTTTGTAATCAGCATTGGTCAGTACTATAGTATTTCAACGCCAGCGCATACAGCCTGTATGTCGTCGAATAGTTTGGGGCGGGATGTGGAGTTACACTTCTCACCCAATGCCTCAAACAGTTCCTCTCATATGGAGAGCGGATTTGACCGCTGCCTCCCATCATTGTACATCAAACAAAGTCTCGACTCATCGGTGAACAAAACATGGTTCCATTGTCGTAAATGCCATCGACAGTGTTGCAGAGCCAAATCGAAGCAAATAAATCAAGGATTGCGACACAAAAATAAAGACCAACAAAGATAACCTACATTTTGTGATAATGAACGAATTAATTAACATTGTAAGGATTAAGCGATAATCAACTGTAAACAATGAGAGTTTTACAACCTTTTTCTTCACGTGACGACATATTGTATTATCATTTTATAACTCCTCCTTGACTATGTCGTTACTACATAAGACTTTGTATCAATAAAAGCAATTAAAAACTTCATAACAGTAATGATTGCATACACCGGTAAAAGTTTAAAGTAGAGAACAAGGATACAGATTTAAATACGTAATGTAAACTTGATATATCAAAATAAACACATATGTAGACTTCGAAGCAAGACATTCATCGAAATCGGTATATTTAGATTTAGTACCTGAATAACGACTTAAGAAGTTGCACCATTTCCTGTCTTGTTTCATGCCACATTGTTGCGCATGCGTACACCATTGGTGATATGACATCCGTTGTTTCTTTGTCCTCCAAATTAGAGTCTCTCATATCATCAGGCTTTAACCTATGTTTAAAGATAAACAGTTATGACGAATGGAAGTTCAAATGTACAGTGTTCTATGAACGTGCGTGCGCATGTTTGGTTAAATATGCCCCAGCAAAAAATACTGTAAAAACCTATAGCTTCGAGAGGTTCAACTTTCTTGGTCTATCGAAAAAATGTTGTTTCGTGGATAAAGCTACTCACGCTTTTCAATGCTTTTAAGTTCATGACAATCTTATATGGTTATCATTTCATAGAAACACTATTTCATTAATGAAGGGAACTCTTTAAAACAACGAAACTAAATCCCTAACGAAATTTATTATCAATATCCGTGACATTGTTTCATGAAACAGTTGAATACGATCGTAACGTGACTATTGTTGAATATATGACCACAAAACTATCTGAGGTGACTTACCTGTAGAAAGTTCGACCTTTACTGATGACCTTGAAGATTTTACGTTTATGGCGACGACGCTTCATGATCAGATCTTGCTCCATAAGTACTCCACAATATACGGGATTCAAGAAGAGGCTAGAGACGACAAATAGAAAAATAATTAACTCTGGGTCATTTCATACAGTGCCATTCAAACAGAAGAAAAACATGTTAACGGGAAAAACGGATATTGCGTCTGTTTGATACATAAATTAGGTATACAGCATTATTCAAGTTTAGGCGACATTTAGGGAAATGCTACTGCAAAGGAAACATGCATTTTGCGTTATTTGCCCACCAATGAGCTGTGGTATTTCTTCTTTAACGTACCCTTGCTGAGAGATTTTGTTTAAACTTGATATATCGATAATAACAAGAGCAACACCAATTTTTTGTCTAATGATTTCTACAATCGTTACACGTAGGTTAGCCAATAAAACAACAATGCTACCTACGTTTCTAAGTTTGAAAGGCGCGGTTGACTCGGGAACCAGATATGCCTTCCTATCCAGTAGACTGAAATTAACCAACCACCGGCTATAGGTAGGTGCCACCAGGTTTTGAGGAGGTCGCCGTCACAGATTCGCTCTTCTTTGAAAATCCCAGGCAGAACATGTGACTGACAATCGGCATACAGTATGTAAGCTGCAAGAGGTGTTGACACTAGTAACGGAACAGCGAACGAGAATATTTGCATGTTAACTTTACATGCTGTATATGCCACGAAATGTCCAACAAATGCTGATAAGGCAAGAACTATGGGGATATCGGTGAATAGTTCTGTGCTCCATACCTCAGTAAATAGTGATAGAAACTGCAAGTCTGAACGATACTCTTGTTCATTAAGGTAGAAAGCTAGCAAACCTGTGATAAGAATCTTTATTGGAGCGGCAATGGCATAAAGAACTGGTCGACACTCCTGTAGGTCGAATTTCAATCCAAGTATAAGGATCTGCAAACTGTTCGTCTCATTTAAAGCACCACAAAACCGATCGTCCACAAAGTTTTCCCAATAGGGAAGCGAACAGAGGATAAGAGCGAAACCCATTTCAACAATCTTCCAGTCGTTCTCAGCAAAATGTGCATTGTTGATATAATAATCGGTTAAAACAATCACGGGTATAACAGATATTTGAATGAGTGCTGCCAATATGTCAAATACAAATGTAAACATTTCACCAGCCTTGGATTTACGTTGCGTATTTGAATCTTTCGTTGACGAACAGAAAGGTTTAAGAATACTTGGTGTTATGCAAGCACAGCTGAGCAATAGAATGCTTCTGACAACATCAATTTCTGGAAGAACTCGGAAGATCAACAAAGACAATCCCACTGAATGCAGACCCTCACTTATCAGCACCTGTAATAATGGTTAGAACTGTATTATTCCTCATTCGATTTGATCATCTTAAGTGTGTATTGTTTCCCGTCATAAAATGGTCCTGTTTGCAGTATCGATATTAGAGGTAAGAGTTTCCAACATAATATTAGCAGAAATATATGGAGAGCGAACTTCTGGTTGACAACATCTTCATCGAGTTTGTTGAATAATTAAGAATAAGAAGAAGAATAATGACATTTCTATTGGAACACACAGTGAACTTCTCTTGGCAGACTTGACGAGTCTAAATTTATCGAAGGGCTTACCAAAGCAGGTCATAGAGACTTGCAATTTCTTTAAGATAAACTTATAACTTTTTGTCTTTAACGAGGTTAATTGACATTTTCCGTGGTATATACCCACCAGAACTGGAACCAAACGTTACCAAGAAATTTCCATTTCTTGGTAACCATATCATGCTTTCTCCACCCATTGTGTTGACATGACACAGTAGATACAACAGAGAAAAGTAGAAGAAATATTCTTTTGGGGAGGAATTGCGGTCGCCATTATGATGTTTCCGAAAAGTAGTATTTCTTTCTAGGGTATGACGCTTGACATGTTAGATGCTTGTTAGTATACCATTTTTGTTCTGTGATTGTTTGCCTTTTCCCATTCAGAAATTAGACACTAATTGAAGCCTACCCTTTCAGAAAACATAATATTATTCTCCTTGTACTTTTTAAAGATTCTCCGTGTAACTCTTTTATCGTGCAATAGTTGTCTCAAGTTCTATCAAGTTTGCGTTTAGATTTTGATTTGTTTCTGCACTTATTGACCAACTTCTTTATCGAATTATGCAAATATTTCAGTATAATGACTCACAATGACGACATTTTTCTTTGAGGGAAAGGGCACATTTCCAAACAGTGATGTCCACACGCTAGTCAGGAATAGCCGGATGTATGGAATACACGTAACGACCAGTAACAGCACGTGTTGAAATTTCTGAAATAAGAAATCACAAATCATCAGCACAGGTTACAAGCGTTTGATACTACAAATTGTATGTGAGAGACTTTACCAGAACAGGATTCGTATTCAAAGTTCAAATATTTTCTTTTTTTCGTAACATCACTAAATGTCAAGACTGCACTTAACTGGAATTTGTACAACTATAAGTAACACTGAAAAAAATGTGAACAATAGGTATGTCGATGTGAAGAAACATTCGAGTAAGTTGTGGTGAAATATCGCCATCGATTAGTCATGTCTGCATAAAATTTGTTTTGTACATCCAGAGACGAAAACCCAGACTCATTTTCCTGTAATAATGCATCATAGTGTGTTATTATGAACAATTACTGAATTTTAATTCTAATGTAATAAGGAAATCCATAAATCTACATTTTACACACGACAACATACAAATTTGTTTGTTTTCTATTCATATACATAGACTACATATTGCATAATATGTACCTAGTAAGTAACCAGAAATCATCCCACACAAGCAGATTACAATTGAATGTTGAGTGATTTAGCCTGAATTTGTGGATGCCCTATCTGTAGTTATTAAGGTACTGATTGCAGATTCACTTAATTTTTGCTTGAATATATAAAGTCGAGTGCAATGATTTGACTATGTGTCTTTATGTGGCCTTACCGATGTGTCGGACACGAGCGTCACTAGACTGATCTTCTGGAACACAGAACAGGCGAGGAGAAGGAGTCCCAGCAGTATGTAAGTGAAAATCTTCAAAGTCCTCATTACACCACCAATGTTAAAACTGTCTCTCTTTGTTTCTCGGTTAATGATATGGAATATGTCCCAGAATCTGAAGATGTTGTATTGATTTGAATAATGAATACATATGGGAATAATCCATGGGGGAAAAAGGCAAACTAGTTTATTTCATTGTTATGGAGAGAAAACATTATTGAAGATATCCAAATCTTCTCTTGAAAGTATCCTATACCTGGCAGTATTTACGGGTCAAAATTGTCACGATTTGTTTTAAAACGATCGAGTTATATTTCAACAACGAATTAAAATTTCACGATCTCGCTGCAATAGGATAATTTATACAGATGGGTCTCATATTTACACGAGCTAAATCACGATTACGTTGATCTTCCGCAAAAGAGTGAAAAAAATTAATATCAACCTGATGAAAATACCTGGCTATATGGTATGTTGAAAACCATATCCATATTAAATACAGACATTTCCCTCAAGTTAAAAGGAAACATATAACTTAGAAATGAGTCTATAGGACATTTCGTAGGGATTATACATTAATTAGACATTAAAAGTTTTCCTGAACATCACTTAGACACCAGAAAAAAATTTACTAACTCTTTTTTCAATTTCTTCGGTATTTTGGAAGCCTGGTTTTGTTCCTCCTCAGTGCCATCGATATTTTTCAGGATGCTGCTTACAGCTGGCGGTGTTGGAGCTTTTTTTTTCTTTGGCTTCCTGTCTGTATAGGTTTTATAACTTATTGAATTTTTAAGGTTTGTGTTATCAGACCAGTTGAAAAATGTGTAGTCTTCTTCCTTGCCGATGCTACGTTTGGAATCAAAAGAGGTTTTAGAACTTTCGGGTGTTGACGCCTCCCAACTTTTGGAATCAAAAGAGGTTTTAAAACTTGCAGGTGTTGACGCCTCCCAACTTTTGGAATCAAAGGAGGTTTTAGAACTTTCAGGTGTTGACGCCTCCCAACTTTTGGAATCAAAAGAGGTTTTAAAACTTTCAGGTGTTGACGCCTCCCAACTTTTGGAATCAAAGGAGGTTTTAGAACTTTCAGGTGTTGACGCCTCCCAACTTTTGGAATCAAAAGAGGTTTTAAAACTTTCAGGTGTTGACGCCTCCCAACTTTTGGAATCAAAAGAGGTTTTAAAACTTTCAGGTGTTGACGCCTCCCAACTTTTGGAATCAAAAGAGGTTTTAAAACTTTCAGGTGTTGACGCCTCCCAACTTTTGGAATCAAAAGAGGTTTTAAAACTTTCAGGTGTTGACGCCTCCCAACTTTTGGAATCAAAAGAGGTTTTAAAACTTTCAGGTGTTGACGTCTCCCATTCAGGTGACTAAAAGATAAGATGGACCGCTTAAAAGAGTGATTAGAGGATGTCTCCCAAACAGGCGGCTAAAACGCAAAATTGACCGCTTAAAAGGGAGATTAGTCATGGTCTCCCAAACAGGTAGCTAAAATATAAGAGGGACCGCTTAAAAGAGGGATTTGTTGAGGTTTCCAAAACAGGTGGCTAAAACATAAAATTGGCCGCTTAAAGGAGTGATTAGTCGAGGTATCCCAAACAGGTGGCTAAAACATAAGATTGACCGCTTAAAAGAGTGATTAGTCTAGGTCCCCCAAGCAGGTGGCTAAAATACAAGATGCATCGCTTAAAAGAGAGATCAGGTATAAGTTCCATTTAGATATTTTACAATCTCTACGCATAACAATATTGACGCAAGCGAAAGGTTTAAGGATACGACGTGGTTGGATACTCGATATGATCTACTAATGAACCACATTCTATACAGGAGCTTTTCGTACCTGGATAGATTTATGTAAAAAAAAGTTTATCTTAATTTTTCTTCTTGGCCATTTTGTACTTCATATTTCTATATTCTTACCGATACATAACTAGCTGTCGTCAATCGAGTCTTTGCTTCGTCTTGATGACGTCTCCGGTTTTGATAATGTTCCTGCCAATGTTTGGCTATGCAATTTGCAGCTGTTCGGTCCCTGATAACACGACATTGCTCCAACAACATGCTTACGTCCTCCTTCATGAAAACCTGAGGAAAAAACAATTCACCTCTTACTATAAACAGTTTGTGTTCATTTTTGATAAATTCAATAGTTCTCCTTCTGCGGTTTCTGTCAATGTATCAACACATGCTTTTGTTTTTTATGCACGTGTTGCGTTGGTAAATCAATACAACATAATGTATTTTCGTATGTGATATAGATACGACGTGCTTAATATAGTGGTATTGTTACCACTGATTAAAACAATCTTAATGAATGGTAAAATGATAGTCAAGGTTAATCAACTCCACGATAAAAATGATATTTAATCACGGTTTAGGTTGCTAAAGAAATATAATACAGCAAAATCAAGGTTTATGATAGGAACTCAATTACAAAGAAGCGAAATAACACTGAATATAGCTTCGAAAGGAATATAATGCAATGATGAATAAGAATGCTAATCAAGGTGTCCAACTGGGCACAATAAGTTCCGGAACAACAATGCCCGGAATCATACATGGCTGTATCTCTCTTTACAAACATACCTTAGTATTTCCAAATCTTATTCCTGGCATCATGTAAGATGGTAATATTTTCTGAAGGAGCAGATAAGTTCCCGCTCGAGGCGACACTGCTGTTCGACTCTGCGGGAAGAGAGATCCGTATCTACAATAAAATACGTACCCAGATGATTAAGACAGTAGTAATTCTACAACGAAATGAACTAAAATAGTTACTATCTTATCAGTCTACAATGAAATCCAATATAAAATTTTCAAAAATGGAATGTAGTATTGAAAACATAGACCGTGCAATTAACCACGCTGAGATTCCTTTAACAATCAACAACTGTTATATATTTAAACTCAATATACCTCTTTGTAAACACGTCATAACGCTTTCGCACCGGAAGGCCCAGCGTCCTGATTTTCGCTACCTCAGAAATCCCATTATAAACTATCTGTTGTACGACCTTCTCATCATCAAAGTTGTCAGGCTGTAGAAACGTGTTTGGTTTGATACATCTGTTGAAATAAAAATGATTATTTCTTATGGCAAATCTAATATCTAATTACTTCTAGTATTCATTTTAACAAGAAATTGAAAAGTTTTTATATTAAATGATATTCATGGGTGAAAATCGTATCTTTTCAAATCGACGTCTTCCACGATAGACGTACGAAGAGATATCTTCATCTGATGGACAAATTTATTGCAATGGGTTTTTAAGTTATATATCTTGAGGACTTTTTATGTTCGCAATAGTGAGCTCAAAATATGCATATTGATGAAAATTATGAGGAAGTTTTACGGTCGTCATAGTGATCTCATTGAGAAGTTTTCTATTTCTTTGCGCGATATGAAGCCGAACGTGTTTATTGCTCTTTTGTAAGCCTGTTGGTCTCATGGCGATATTCCATGTACTTTGTTTTCATTTTTGAATTTCAAATCACTCACTAGGATTAACCAAAACTGGTGTTGTGGATATAGCAGTAGATGCTTCCGAACAACCTAGTCTTATTCTCCTTGTACTTTCATGAGTTAATCTTCCTTTTGCACATAGTTTGCCCTAGTTTTATTTTTATCATGGCTATGTAGACAAGTTGGTATTTTCATGTTGTTTCTGGATCATCTGAACTTGTCCTTCTTGTGGCTATTCAGGCATAGCCATGATATTGTGTTCTTTCATCTATATTTCCCCTCATGTCCTCGATCTTAAATTTGAGAGATTCAGCTGACATGAAATGACAATATCTGTAAATAATGTTTACCTAATTACCGCTTACCATACGTAGTAAGGTGATATCTGTAAATAATGTTAACCTAATTACTGCTTGCCATACGTAGTAAGGTGATATCTGTAAATAATGTTAACCTAATTACTGCTTGCCATACGTAGTAAGGTGATATCTGTAAATAATGTTAACCTAATTACTGCTTACCATACGTAGTAAGGTGATATCTGTAAATAATGTTAACCTAATTACTGCTTACCATACGTAGTAAGGTGATATCTGTAAATTATGTTAACCTAATTACTGCTTATCATACGTAGTAAGGTGATATCTGTAAATAATGTTAACCTAATTACTGCTTACCATACGTAGTAAGGTGATATCTGTAAATTATGTTTACCTAATTACTGCTTACCATACGTAGTAAGGTGATACCTGTAAATTATGTTTACCTAATTACTGCTTACCATACGTAGTAAGGTGATATCTGTAAATAATGTTAACCTAATTACTGCTTACCATACGTAGTAAGGTGATATCTGTAAATTATGTTTACCTAATTACCGCCAACCGTATGTAGCTAGGCTATAACTGTAAATTATGTGTACCAAGGTACCACTTACCGTACGTAGTGAGGTTCCGCCTGTTTCAGTTTTGACAACAGCTCATTCATGGATGTCTGATATATATATAAAAACACAATTATGCTATAATTATCGATTGTCAACCAATGTCAGAAAATGAAAAAAAAATTATAGAATATATATATACCTATATGATTTTAAATATTCATTTCGATACAAAACATTCATTTAATTTTAGTAGCTCATCATTAATCATGTAGTAATATGTAGTTGTATTAATTTATGTCTACCTTTCTGACGTGATATTTTCTGTACCTAACTGACGTGATATTATCTGTAACTAACTGACGTGATATTGCCTGTACCTAATTGACGTGATATTTTCTGTACCTAACTGACGTGATATTGTTTTGTGCCTAACTGACGTAATATTGTCTGTAGCTAATTGACGTTATATTATCTGTACCTAATTGATGTGATATTATTTGAACATAACTGATGTGCTATAGTTACCTGGAAGTAGGAAATTACAGTCCTCTGATCCTTAGGGCTAAATCTGATACTGGTACTGCTTTCTATTTTCCCGTACCTTTGAAATAAAATAAAATTTTCTCCTATTCTGAAATTCTAGTCACGAATACTTAGTAATATATTAGAAGTATACCATGTACGAGATGGTGAGGAATCGGCCAACTCTATTTGACCCTATCTACACTAGGGTTGCCACGGAAGCCATCTGTATTCGCCGCAGCGGGCCAGTAATGAACAGAGTATAGTATGCGTATTCCTTTTTCAAGAGACATTTCATTAACCCGTGCCCAGAATGAGTCCATTTCTCTCTAGATGACTACCTATCTTCGATCGGAATTTATTTCGATCACAATAAAAATTTTTGGTCTGGGCAGCCTTTGAAAAGACAGTGTTTTACCCATTTTATGTTGGCTGCTGTTGTGACAAGATGATCTCCGATCAATCCCTTTGTACCATACCTCATTTGCAGAGTTGCCCCGAGATCAGGTGTCAGTGTAGGTCTCCCCGCAGATTCTGTAGGTCGGGCGCCTGCTTCTTTCTTTGACTTCCTGATTTTGTGAACAGTCCTGAAAAGGGTGGCAAACGGAGTAGCTAATTTCGGAAAAAGGCTACAAAATTATGCAAAACACAACCCTGCTGAGATAGTGATATAGTGAGGGAAAATATAACATATCTGTAGTTATACTATGCAATTTTTGAGATGTACTGTGATTCCCTACCCCCATCCCACCACCACCCACCCAATCACACACACGCACAAAGAATCAAGAAACGAGACTAGAGTTTCCGTTTATTAGAGGTGACGTAAACGTGTCTTAAGAACATTTGAGAGTAGAACTGACAAGTACAGTCTCAATCCGTTTATACTTTCAATGTCGATGCACCTGTTATACAGCGTTTTTACTATATTGTCATCTCTTTGAACTTCAGTACGAAGAATGTCAGATTAAATCACTTGAAAAGCCTGGATTAAAATTAACTTTAACAAGGAAATTTGATACTTCAAACACCAGGTTTTAAGATTGTCATCATGGTGTTGAATGCTTACGCAGATATTGTCCCTGTCGGGCCTTTCTTGGCCGTGAACAGATCTGACACGAATGGGTTGGTGCTCTGCTTCATACATGTAATTAAATCCGGACTCAACATATCTCGGTTCTTCTCAATCAACATCGACGCGTCATACCACACCTGTAAATAGGTAAACTGTGAGTAGCCTATTAATGACATAGGAAAGTTTTATGGTAGCCATGGTGATCTCATTTAGAAATATTCTATTTCTTTGTGCGATATGAAGCTGGAGAACGTGGCATTACTTACTTAGATTGACAAAAATTTACATAGCGCGTTTCGTCGATGAAGCAGATGACGCTTACTCTTCTGGAACACCTGGTCTTATTCTCCTTGCACTATATCAGGAGTCTCAGTGTAAACCTTTCTTTCGCCCTTATATTCCTCTAGTTTTATTGAATTTGAGTTTAGATTATGATTATGTTGACATGTTGCTATTCATGTTATTGTATTAGTTTTCTTTGTAAGAAAGAACCACTTTTGTGATGACACAAATAAACTGCAATAAAAGGCATGAACTATGTAATAATTAATTCGCCTCTAAGCAGCAAACAAGATTTTTAAATGCTATTTGCAATTGCTATCCACCATTGAGGCTTTATGTCCCAATGTTGGCCGCGGTTTAATTCAAAGTGGGGCCTTTTGATGACACTAGTTATACTTCAACACTGAGATACTCTGAACGAACAAATACATTTTGATATGACCACAACGTCATATCAGCTGATAATGCAATATATATTTTGAAACCATTAGTAAATACTTCTTTTAAGAGATATATTCTGTTGATGAGAACACTTAATGTTCAAGAGTATAAGTCAACATTACCTTTAACATTAGCAAAACGTTATATTATCTAAATATAGATTGTCCACGCAAGTTCACTTCCTTTCTTAAAACATACCTGACCAGCGAAATGTTTGACACCGAACACCGCCTGATCACTGGGGGATGCCATAAAGCATTCGAGGTTTTCATATTGGTCTTTCATGTTCTTGATCAGTCTGTCATTCGAACCCTGTGCCAACTTTGATTCCTCGTCAAGCAGTGGTAGTACCCCGAAAGTTTTCTATAACGTACATAGTGCTTATACACGTGAAGCTATATGCTTGTTTACTGACAATACAAGGTGGCAGCTTTAACCAATTAATTTCGAAAATATCGTGAAGTCCGAAGACATTTAAAAAACAAGAATATGTAAAATATGTAACATTCAACTAAAGTCAAAAGGGCATTAAGATAGGTATATCTAAATTGAGTAATACTTAATAAAAAAAAAACTTAAGTGTAGCAAGAAAATCAGTGAAAGTGATGGATGTCCCCACACTTTATAGGTCACAAACTTTTAACAAAGGGCAGTAATTCTATAATTAGGGGTTTTGAATTTAGTACACTGCACATTAATATGACATATGTATACACACAGTTTCATGGTCATAGTTTTAATGTAATAAAAGCAGATGGGACCTGACTTTGCTACACTGCATCTTGGTGTTCTATGACTGGTGTATACATTACGTTTAAAAATCCTAGTTTAAATGCAGGCAAAGTAATGCTAAAGGCGCAAAACTTTTAATAAAGGGCAATCAGTCCCGACTTTAAGGATTGTAGCCCCTAACCTATGATCAATGTATACACCAAGTTGCACTATCTTACCTTAAACGCAAGCAAACCTAAACCTGGTAATGATATTTTTTAGCAAAGGGCAATAAATTTGTAATTGAAGGATGAAGGGCCCTAAATTTGGAATACATGAGTATGATCAATGTATACACAAAGTTTATTTACCCTAGTTTAAATGCAAACAAAGTTATGCTCCAGACACAATATTTTAGCAAAGGGCAATAACTCTAGAATTAAGGGGTTGAAGGCACTGAATTTGGTACATTGTACATTCCCTTAGTATGAAAAATGTATATACTAAGGTTCCTGCTCCTTGCAAAAGAACGGACGAACGAAGGGCTGAAAAGGTGACGACCGTATGCGACCCCAAAAATTTTCGGGGAGCATATCTAAAGATATAACGCTTAACAAAACCTAAAGAAAAAAGCCGTTAAGGTAGGTAAACATAAATAATATGACAAACACTAAAGTTAAACATCACACCGAGATAAGTATACATACAACATTGAACATTTAACAATAACTAAAGTCAGAAAACACATAAAGATGATCATATCTTAAAGCTTTCGGTTCAATATAGATATTTTGAAAAAGGTCTCTTATTTGATATATTAGAATAGATATACAATAACCGATGGAAAAGGTCAGATTCCTTACATTTCATAATGAAGCAAACCGGAAACGTTTATCTAATGCTAAAATAGATTTTCAGATATATCTTTGATTGTATTGTTATGTCACTGCCACTCTCACAAGGAAACTGGGTCGGGTTTCACGAAAATTCTTAAGTACGTTCTCATGCTCAAATTTGAGAACAGCCAATCAGAAATGACGTTATATGATCTAACGTCATTTCTGATTGGTTATTCTCAAGTTTGAGCACGAGAACGTACTTAAGAATGTTCGTGAAACCCGACCCTGTAGTATAATCATGGTATCTTCTTCAGAAATAAGAGAAAATCTTTGGCTTTCAAAAATCCAACATTTAAGAAGATATTTGGTTTCTAATCACGCTGATTGTCTGACAAACGTACCTTCATGAACATGTTCAACACTGCGTCGTCTTTCTTGTATTTGATATCTGGTATCTGGATTCCTTCCTCCTTGTAAAGCGACATCTCAAAGTCTACAGTGTTCATGTTGGTGAAACTTTGTAGCTTCTCATTGGTGAGATTAATACACATTTGTTCCAGGCTGTTGAACGTTAGGTTCTCAAAGCCAGCGATATCTAGGATCCCTATACGGACAAAACCACCTGTGTCATTAAGTCTGGTACTGCAAGTAGATGTAAAGTAAATTAAATTACGTAAATTATATGGCCATACTTATTCATAACTTCGATGCTTTGATAAATAATCTTATATCCGAAGAGGACTCCACCCAATAGCCAGTCTCTCTCCTATAATTTGTCATAATAAAGGTGTTTATTAAATTCAATACATCGTCAACAAAGATGACATTTCTCAAAACATTTTCCGCAACTTTGAACTCTCACTCAATTTTGCTTTTTGTCCAAAATATGTCAGTATCATTTGTTTCTGAATACAGGCAATCGCATTTAGAAATTATAATTTTGTGTGTTCCCTACTAAAAAACTCACAAAAAAAAACATAAAAAACAATAAAAACCAAACAAACAAACAAACAAACAAAAAATAACTTTAAATATACAAAGAGTTCCTTACATCTTATCGGTATTATTACGTAATCAATTCCAATGTCCATCGATTAAATTATTGAATTCTACCAGCATAACATTATTGCTTATTTCAATAGAAAAGTATTCCAACACAAGAAATTGATATCAGATTCGTGTACCGCCTTTCAGCTTTTAAGTATAGGATGACATCTTATCAAAGTTACAATCTAACACTCCTATAAAGATTCCAGGTATAAACAACACAGATGACGTCAGTCTGCATGACGTTTAATACAAACTTTAACGGGTAGAGATTCATGTTGATCTGACGGACAATCCAACCAAACAGACGCTCGTACAAAGCCTTGGCGAATGCATCTCTGCTGTCAATGGCCTGACACATGGACTTCCTCTTCACAATTACTTCTCCTTGAAAATAAAAACATTCTGTTATAGTAAAACTGTAGTAGGTTCAATTTTTCAATACCTGTATGTTTGTTGAGCCAAACTTATTTTACCAGTATTCCTTATTCGGTACTCTCTAGGTAATACATATATTGATATCATTTGCTTATTTTCAGATGAAAAAAAAACATGAAATATACAGTATGATTGTGATATGACAATGATTAGCTCTCAGTTTCTCAACGTTTTTTTATAGTTTTAAAACACACAAAAATATAAGGACTGCAAATAGATATATAAATAAATCTACGATTAACAGATGTGCAAACTTTACCCACACACCGAATTTTTTTGTTTTATCAAAGTGAGTGTACCATTTACACCTTACTTAAATCTTACATAACTGTGTTTTTTTTCAGCTTCCCCGACCTCTAAATAAATTCTTATTCTGTTTCGTAAACCTTTTTCTCTCTAGAAAACTATTTAGTAAAAATCTTGACGTTTTAACTTGTATAAGTAATATTTCAGAAATGATTTCCGAAAATCACAATGTTTTATAACTGCTGTGTGGAGAATATCGCTACACACAATACCAACCAGCAAACGTCTGTTTGGTGGCTATCAGTGAATGTCCCAACTCCTCGTATGGTACGGTCAGTAGATCGGCCACTACAAGCAACAAGTTTGGTTCTTAAGACAACAAGAGTACGTATGTCTAAACCATTCGTCAAAATCGTCAAATATATTTATCAAACAACCTTAGATCTTTGTCCATTCAAATTATTAGACATGTAAATAAAAAAAAAAGATAATGACGGCACAGTCGATGCTGTAAGATGATAAGGCTGACTTAATCCCATTGTTTGATTTAACAAATAAATCCTACCGTTCTCTAACACCGAAATGTCACGGATCTGCAGTGGTTGATTTGGATCCTCCGGTTCTATAAACTCCACCTGTGTGATATGTAATATGGCCGCCAGCACAGTGTGGATGATGTCAATGTCCTTCAATGGTTACCAAAACATATTTCTTAACATTGCATCTCATGATCATCATTATGCATTTGTTCTAAAGAAGAAGACTAGATTATCTGTTATCTAAATACAAATCAAATTTTAAAAATCAGGATGTTCAATTGTTAATCCATGTAATCACACACACACACACACACACACACATATATATATATATATTTAATTGACTTAACTTTGAAGGCGTGCTCGTGGCACAGACGTATAGACTTAAACCAATAACGGTTTTGTTTGGAAAGGTTGATGACACAAATGGCTGATGCCCAATTTATTACATAACAGTGACCTATATTAGACATGATAAATCAAAACAAATCATCCTATTTGTTTAGTTGTTAAGATCGATATACCAGTAGCAACAAAATCACAATAGGGAGAAGTCAAATCTTCTGATAAAAACAAAACCCATAAAAATTCGATCAACTGAAAACGCCTCCAAATCTGTGATTTTGTTTTTTTGTAATAATACGGGTTTACCTGTTGGTCCATGTCTAAGGATTTGAGAACCTCCATCTGTTCAAGGTACATAACCCTATAGATTTCTCTTCTGCTCAGTAAGTCTTTGTTTCGTTGTAATATCCTGTAATCATTTGGACAAACCCTTGAGTAAACGTGGCAATGTTGTTTCCGTCATCTTCTTTAAATCAAAATTCTTTAGAAAATAGATTTGGCTAATTAAAGTTTACAAAAGTTTGTTAAATTTATATTTCATTCATCCATTTTTGTTCTGAAAAGTTTGTTCCAATCGGGTGAACAAAAAGAACGTTTCTACCTGTAAGAATGTGCGTCTTTCAATCGGAGGCTTTTCAACATGGCTGTAGGAGCTCCAGCAAACAGGCTGTAGAATATATGGAAATTGCCTTCCTTGTCAGCCTGGTTAACCACACGTGACTTCTCCAACAGATAGTCCCGCACAATGGCTACAAGGACAAGTAAAACTTTTTAACAAATTGAATTTACAACAAATGTTAGGTTATCGCTTGATGTACGCGTATGTTATTAATGATAATCATGTGTTTTATTGTCTGTGTTTCCTGAGTACGTACAGCGCTGACTTTTTCATTATTACATTTATCGGTCAAATTTGTGTTCTGATCTTGAATCGCCCCAAGTTTTCCATTAGAGAGAGTGTCTACAAACCTTCACCAAAGTGTCTATCAACCATTATGCTAGTGTCTTTGCTAGTATCTACAAACCTTTATCCCAGTGTCTACAAACCTTTATCCTAGTGTCTACACACCTTTATCCTGGTGTCTACAAACCTTTATCCTGGTGTCTACAAACCTTTATCCTATTGTCTACAAACCTTTATCCCAGTGTCTACAAACCTTTATCATGGTGTCTACAAACATTTATCCTAGTGTCTACACACCTTTATTCTGGTGTCTACAAACATTTATCCTGGTGTCTACAAACATTTATCCTAGTGTCTACAAACCTTTATCCTAGTGTCTACAAACCTTTATCCTAGTGTCTACAAACCTTTATCCTGGTGTCTACAAACCTTTATCCTAGTGTCTACAAACCTTTATCCTGGTGTCTACACACCTTTATCCTGGTGTCTACAAACCTTTATCCTAGTGTCTACAAACCTTTATCCTGGTGTCTACAAACCTTTATCCTAGTGTCTACACACCTTTATTCTGGTGTCTACAAACCTTTATCCTAGTGTCTACAAACCTTTATTCTAGTATCTATGAACCTTTATCCTAGTGTCTACCGAGAAGTCTTTTCACGAGTAGAAAAATAATTTCTTTTTTTTTTCATGTGGTTTGGCACATGACTCTTTACTCGACTGTTAGGGTTTTGCTACATTACCTATCCTTGTGGTTCTCCGACTTCATATTAAGTATATAATGATTGATTTAACGGTCAAGGACACTTACCTCCAGCGGGGTTACCATTTTAATTAGACAGATACGATACACGTTACCTGCCATGCTAATACAAAGAATGTTACAAGACATATCAGTATTACCTCCCTTTATCTGTCCGTCTACAGAAAACGCCAACTCCAAATACTTGGCGAACCTGCTGGAATTTTCATTCAGTGTTGTTTTGGCGTTGCCAAACGCTTCGAGAAGAGGATTGACCTATGAGAAAATGACACAATAAGAAGTAAAATTAAGAGCAACATTGTGTCATCCATTGTACAAATGATCAGATACTAACACATCGTCAGTAGGCACATTTTAAACACAAACTGTTTAATTTCTTTATAGATTTAACTTCTGAGAAATAAAAATTAAACGTTTCTTGTTTCAGTTCCAACTTGCACTAAAAATATCAGTTTGATAGCTGACGTCATCGTGGTGTACATATCACAATTTCTCTTCATAATGTGTCTTAGTATTGGCACAAAGACTTTACAATGACAATACAACAGTCCTACGGAAATAAAGAGGTTTGTGGCCTCGACAAACCTTTTACTCTGATTCTTTGTTATTGTTAAGGCCAATATTAACTAACCAAATATGTAATGCTGATAATTTTCATCTAGATGGACGTATCAAATTCAGAAATAGAAGATAAAGATTAATTTGAAATTACACCTTTTAAATCCATGTAAGATTATTTCTTACTCCAGGTCGCTCAGTAATCACCACTCACCTTAATAATGCGCTGATGAAGATGATCGGACTTTTGGGGACACATGGCCATGAGATGTTTTACTATATACTTTGCGTTTTCTGTCTTTCCCGCACCAGATTCTCCCCCAACAAGTATCACTTGATTCGTGCGCGTCTCCTGCAGCCGACGATATGCACGTGCAGTCATGTGAAACACGTGCGGCGGATGAACATGGTGTAGAGACTTCCAACTATATTCTTCATGTTTCTTTAAATAATCGATATAAAAAATTATCAAGGAACACAAATATGATATTTTGTGAATGTAAAAATAGTAGAAATCTATAATGGAGTGGATTTAATTAGATATGTCGTATTGGGTTAATGCTGTAGAATAAAACATAGATATTAAAGTTTGATATCGATATGAACATCTTCGGTGTGAGATCGAATTCAGTTACTAGACTGTAATACAGTGTCTTCATAAAAACTACGTATTGATTCCAAATACATCATTCCAATTATTATTCATTTCAACTGAATTCCATTCTGTGTGATTTATAACATTCTTCGAAATAATTAACCAACTTAACGTCACAAAATCAAACCGATCTCCATTCATACTACTTCATTAAAGTTTCTTATTACAATTAAAAACCATATCAAATCATAGTTACAGTCTTATTGTGATACTGGTTACTAAAGAAATGTAATTAACTCTCTTCCAGGAAACATTTAAAAGGGGATTTCCTTTATAAAGAATTATATTTAACCAATCACATTTCCATAACCCAATTCCAAACTGAAGGACCCCCTTCGTTTTCTTGGTATGGGAGATTTTGTTTTTGTTGTTGTTTTTGCAGATGTGAACTTTGGTACATATATAAGGTTGTGAACTACACTTTCGTGAAAAATATTCCGAATCTGAAGATGGAATCATACACATGATCCATTACGTTCATTTTTTATATATATATATATATACAAGGGTTAGAAATATCAAGGAAACCTTACAATTAAACAAAAACTAACGAGCTGTATGATAAACGGAAATTTCCGAATTATGAACTGTCCATATTCGGAAAGAAACATGATTTCAATTTCCGTGTTATGAACTGTCCATATTTGGAATGTAACCTACCAAATTCCCAAAACTTATGGTGTTTAAACTGAAAGTTGCATTTGATTCAATATTCAATAACTTGTTCTCAATATAACGATATAAGATATCGACAACTGGTAGACAAACTCACAACACAGGGTTCCGAGAGATATATAACGCCGTAACGTTCACATTCGGAAATATCCTATTTTCGTTTGCAATATGAAGTTGGGTGCTATTCAGTGTGTGCCTGGCGGTTTCGTTGTTATTAACTCTTTTTCTTATTTGGAAACATGACATGGATTGTGTAAAATTTAAATGCCGTGGCATAGACGAAAAAGAAGACGCTTACCTTCCTGAAACACCTGGTCTTATTATCATTAGATTGTTCAGGCGTCTCTGTGTAGATATTTCTTTTGGTCATATGTTTTCCTACTTTTATCGAATTTGATTTTGAATTGAGATTCTGTTGAAATGTCAGTGTTTTCTCTGTTGCTTGTGAAACAGACTGGCTGTGTCAAAATAAGCGAACAAACAACTGAGTGGTGACTTACTTTTACTTCAGGCGATAGCACACCCCATCATTTTCAGTCGCAGACTATCATACATTAAACTACAACAAATGTAACACTAAGATGATAAGGTATCATCTCCTACTGAATAACGGAATAATAAAACCCATATTTCAGGCATTATTGTGACATCGATGCGTCAATTTAAAGCCTACATGTCCTCAGAATTAAGTATACCGAGAAGTAGACACGGAATTGTTTTACATTGATCGCAATCTTTGCGACCCAAGGATCTTAAAATGATACTCTTCTTAAAAGATATCCTAAGTGATGTATACGTACTAAAAACACAAAATTAACTTGTCTTTGGCCTATATCTCCTTCGCTACATGACCAGTCACTAGGAAACAATCCTGAATACCTTGGTTATTGTATAAATCTTTGGAGCTGATTTGGAGATAAGTTGAGATCGTCTGCATGTCTATTCACCTGTAACGAAGTAATTATCAGGTCAGGTGTGCAGGTGCAGATATACGATCTCCAGACAGTAAACTCACGCCCGGGATTAAATGAGCCGATTTGTTGTTTCGGCAGCACGCGGGTGTTAATGTTTATGAAAATTTCTATTTTTTTCATTAAATATCTTAAATGCGTCATTTTGTTGTGCCGTTGTGGCGTAGCATAACAGCAATAACAATTTCCACAATTTTTACTTTTTATGCTTCCGAAGCACAGCTTTTCGCGCTGATGTAAAGAAGTATGTGGCTCTGATATAAAAATGAATTGTGTCTGAAATTGAAAAAGCAACCTGTGTTTTTTTTTGTAAAGCAAACACAAGAGTTTAATGTGTTTATTACTTAATGTTTCCCTCGGTGGCTGTTTGCCGTAAGTATAATCTTGAAAACTCATTGACTAAAATTCAGCCCGATTGGAGGCTGATAATCCAATAGACAACAGTTAGGCCTGTTAGTCAACCAACTAAAACTACACTCAACATCAGGGAATGGTATTCGACCTGCTTTGAGGGTAAAGGAAAAAATCAGAACTGGTAGTACCCCTACCTCAACAATAACTGTAAACCCCAGGGACTGAGCAAGTTTCATGTAATAAACCCTGGGAGGCTTCAATCGCTTCAGATATAAGAAGTCAACCAGATAAAAATACCTATTCAAGGAGACTTATACGTTTCCGGATTTTCAGATTAACCGGGTCAGATTTTAGGAACAATGTTATGGCCCTCCCCTTCGGGGCCTTAATTTTCACCATCATAACAGCTAAATTCCGTCAATATCATATTGTTTCAGGCAAAATCTACACTCAATATAAACCATAGGCGATCCGATATACATACCTTTCCATCAAATATGTTGAGATCCTTATAAGGATTGACTGATATGAGGATGTCGCCACAGTTTGTCTGAAAATGTTATTGATAATTCCATTATACTGTTTTGTAAAGTTAATGGATAACTGTTAAATGCAGTCTGGATCAACTTGTACTGGGTTGGTATATAAGAACGTACAGACATACATAACATTTGCCAGTGTAGTACCGAGAGCGCAGACGAAACTCTGTTATATCTTCAATGCTATTTGCCTCCGTTTCAAGAAACAAAAACTTACCAAAAATACTTGACTTTTATCAATGGTTACATAGAAAACACGTGAAACGCATCTTGAATTGGAATCCGTTCGATGTTCAAAACATGACTTCCTCTGACCTATAGTAACCGAAGGCCATCGAGATTGTACAAGAGACACACAAGTGAAAACAGAGTAATTGAAATGTCAAAATCTAGATGGGGAGGTGAACTAGTCCCATAATTCAATGAACGTAGCATTTTCCAACGTGATAAGTAAATAAGACCGTTCGATATATGTATGTACCGTGTGTTATAAATGAAAGATAAAATTATTTAGTTTCATGTTCCGGATCTTAAATAAGATCAACAGGACTGTTTAGCTACACTATAATTCTTGAGGTATAAAGTGTACGGTATGGTAATTTGATATACGAGACTGTATAGCTACACTATAATTCTTGAGGTATACAGTGTAAGGTATTGTAATTTGATGTACAGGACTGTATAGCTACACTATAATTCTTGAGGTGTAAAGTGTACGTTATTGTAATCTGATGTACAGGACTGTTTGGCTACACTATAATTATTGAGGACTGTACAGCTATAATTATTAAGTTGTACGATATCTGTGCAGCACCTGAAATCTGATCTACAGCTCTTTTTACTTGTACCATGATAGTGTGTACATTTCATTAACTCCTCAAGGGCATTATGACTCACCGATTTCAATTCTAGTGAAGTTTTTTGACAAAATAATTAGGCATACACCGACATGCTTCTAGACATATCAAATTTCCATGAGGAAGACAGGTCCGAGATTTTCTGATAACACTACAGTTAAGAAATTGTGTCGTAATAAAGTAGTAAGATACCTGTTGTTATAATTTATGCTATGATGACCGGGTGGAATTTGCTGTGAAAACGGAAACTTCTGTCGTTATGTAAATAAACAAGGTATACCTTGCATATATAAAACTACAAAGACATTTAAGAAGGCTCGGTTTGTTATCCATTTACATAATATTATGACAAGTTTGGTTCGCCATATTATCAACACATGTTTCTCTGATTTATATTGTCTTCAAACTTTGACTCCATCTTGTTATATATAATTATATTACCTATCTAATCTTACTATTCTTTAACACTACAATTTAAATGATGGTAATGCTTGCCTAACATTTCTGTTAGATAATTATTCAACTGAATCTATATTCTAAATTCTTTTCCTGGAATGCTATCATTATTATTTAATATCTTAACATTTGATTGATGTGTCTGTGTACTTGTTTAAGTTGTATGGAGAGGGCTTTCATAGGCTCTGCCTGTTGCCCAATTCCATTTGTCACCAACATCATGACAATAAAATATTCTGAAATGAAATATTGTCTTCAAAGCATTGTAAATTCCCATCGTTCATTTGTGGAGAACAAAATTCATGTTATATTCATGATAATCATAATAAAAGTTTAATATTGATTTAAGTACATATTTTATTGTATTTATCAGTTATTCATTATTTCAAAATTAAGTGGACATTACCCACCAATGTGTTGTCCAGAAAATGTTTAAATGTGCGAATCGCTAATTTTTTGGGAGCTGTATTGTATGGCTACTTGAAACCGTACACGTGAGCCAAGAATAGCAACATGTAAAAGGATAAGATGGCAAAAAGGTTAAAGTTCATTAGTACATAATGAGGAATAACATGTTTTGTTGGATTTGTTCGGATGTTGGGTTTCGCCGTAAACGTTTCCGATAGTATCCGATGGAAACAGACAGTCTTTCGTTTGCCGAATTAAATTAAACACGCGTATTTCATTCATACGAGGATACAGTTTTGTTGTAAGGATTTATGGAAGTCATGCTTGACCAGACGTAGGATATTATTCAATATAAGAAGGATTTCACCTTTTATTTTATTTTTTATATAAAATTTGTTATCTATATTTTACCTATAACCTGATGTTCTCTAAAAAAAAATCAATTTTATTGCATAGATATTACAAAAAAAGGATCGGACGCAAGTTGTCACAACTTATAAATGTCATCTCCATAATACAATTTTACTTATGCATAACTTAGCAATGGCCTAAATCACTCAGTATATAAATGAAATTTTCTAATTATAAGTAAAGAAGAAAAAAGACAGTAAAGAAGAAAGATGCAAACAACAGAATGAAAAAGGGATGCTGAAACAATGAATATGAAAACAAAGGAGATGCTAAGGGCTAGTCAAATGGCACTGTCGACACATAGAAATATGATGACCTGTATTTGTACTTACACATCGACAAAAATATTTTGTACGTGTTTACAAATAGCTTCATTTAATTTTACGCCCAAGGAATTATCACCACATCTAAGGTAGTTTTACCATACCATTTTAAACGTCTCGGCATTTTATTTCTTTCTATATTGTAAAATGGACAATGAGAAATAAAACCTGAAATAGGGTGCTTAATTTGACGTTTGTTAGAGACAGTGATAATATATTATGATAGCAAACATTCCTAAATTTTTATGACCCGAACACAAATATTAAAGCTTGGTCCTGATTTTAGAAAATCTGGCTATTTGGACAAATTTGCTAAATGTAATGCACTTTTAAATCTTAATCAATATCATCAAATAGTTCTGTAGTGACGTATATTTTTCTTAAAGTTGAATTTTAGCACGTGGTCAAAAAGAAAATTTAAGAAATTGTTCAAAAATGTCTTTTGCTGTATTTATTTATTTATTTATTTATTTTGTTTCATTTTCTTGCAATACAGTTTTAAGTTCGAAAATCAGACGTCTTCACATCATTGTTGTCATATTATACAAGTATCACTTTATTTCCTATTTTATTGTCAGAACAAAACAAAATTTACTATAAAAAGAGCTGTCTTCAAGATAACAAAAAACGCATGTTATTTACAAAAACAAAACAAAAATACTAATTACTCAACACTGACACCTGTAGAGGAGAAAGAATTGGAGCAGCGTATTCATTTTTTAATCTTTGTCTTGAGAACAAAAGATATATTTTAGAGAGTTTTGGCGTCCGAACCTTCATGCCTCTTAAAGAGAGAAGTGAATATAAAACAAACGACCCTAGTTAACTAATTTCATGATGGCCACAAAACGTTCTATGAATGTCAAATTTACCAGAAACAAGTATTTTTGTCATATTCTCGAGATTGATTTCATTTTGATCAAAGGTCTACATACTTTTCAGAAATACTTGTGGGTATAAAATCGTTTAAGATTTATACACACCGCATACAGGATTTCAATAATAAAAAAAAATCTGTCTTTCGTCCCGGTTTTACTTCCTAGTCTGTATATAAGTCTACAGTAACAAAAGATTTTAATACAATGGATTCCTTCATTGATAAAATCTTTCAGACCCACATTTGTTTCTGTAACACTGGCGAGAGTGTAATAGACTTTAAAACGCTAGTGTGGTCAACATAAAACCTTCACTTGTTTCTATGCTGTTAACAAGTGTTCAATAACTGATACGTCATTGTAATATTGTAAAGTGTCGGAAGACAATTTCATAAGTCGTTCGAATCGATTTTAAGCTGTGTTGATATTTTGGCCATGTTTATTCCGAGGTCCTCAAGGACACGACAGAAAAAGAATTGCAATAGAAAACGCCTACAAAAAGGGTGATGATGACAACCGAGAGATGTTTCGTGATCGCCACAATGATCTCAATAGTTGGTAGTTTATTTTATTTTTTTTTTCATCTTTTAAATATGAAGCTAGGCGTGTTTGATGTTCTACGGTATTGCGAGCGTTTTGTTTTCGTTCTAAAGGTTTTTTTTTCATTTCAGAAATTGCTTAACTTAATTGATCAAGATTTACATGTCGGAAGATGTCGATGAAGCAGAATACGATTACCCTTCCGGAACACCTGGTGTTGTTCTCCTTATAGTTTTTGTTTTGATATGAACTAAGATTTTGCTAGAATGTATGGACCTATTTTATGTTTTTAAGACCTTGAGATCAGTAATTTTATCATATTTTCAAGTTTGCAATGATAAAGAAAAGAAGTAATTGAAGAAGGAAACGCAGAAAAAATTCCATATTATTTCTGAATAAATTAAACGCCGACGTGTCTTTTCCTTTAAGTAAAAATACGTATCGAACCTTTCAAAAATACGACTTAATTCCTCCATAGAAAGAAGGAAAAAACAAATGCAAATTAATTTTTCCTGTAGGCTCCAATCATCCACTTGTTTGCGATCTGTGTTGGCCTTGTTATACTTACATACATCTTGTCTTTGACATATCTCGTCTTCAGTACTTGTCTGATGCTGTTGTTGTCAAGTCTCTCCAGCTGGGAAATATCGTCCACGTCTAGGTCCGCCATGTCCTGCTACAGAAACACACCGGCGATTTCCCGGGGGTGGGGATTTCGTGCTACACTTCAGTATTCTCAAATTCTACATTTTATAACTTTTCACTGTCTATCGCTGTATAACCTCTGTGCAATTTTTTCATCAGAAATGCGATGCAAATTAAAGGTGCGCACACGAAACTGGTGTTTACTTCCTGGTTACACGCTATGCATTTCTTTATCCATGCCCATTAGCTTGGAACGAAGAACAGAAATGTTTTCGTGTGACGATAATACCTGAGTTCATTTGTCAGCGTATCTAGTGACAAAAAAGTGACATTCTTCTACACAAACACACAATTTCTCTGAGTTATACATTTTACAGTCAGAACTGCTATCAAGCTGCAAGAGGAAATCTCTAAATCGAATGAAAAAATCTTGTTTTATATAAATCAAATGAAAATGGTCTGCAACATGGCTTAAAACCTCTTTAACATGCAGCAATGAATATTACGTAACTATCACATCCTGGTATATTTTCAAATACTTGTGGCTTATATTCAGACCATATTAATTACATCTATGTTAAAACGTACAAAATATATACTAAAGATAAAAAGTGGGTATTTGGGTCTTTAAAGCACAAAATTTATCGTCATGGAAACAACATGATACGGAGCCCGGGAAGGGACATCAGGAATTTTTTTTTTTAATCCGTGACCTCGGTTTAGAAATCCTTGGCCTCGGTATAAGTAATCCTTGGCCTTGGTTTAGAAATCCGTGGCCTTGGTTTAGAAATCCGTGACTTCGGTTTAGAAATCCGTGGCCTTGGTATAAGTAATCCGTGACCTCGGTTTAGAAATCCGTGGCCTTGGTATAAGTAATCCTTGGCCTCGGTTTAAACAATCCGTGGCCTTGGTATAAGTAATCCTTGGCCTCGGTTTAAACAATCCGTGGTCTTGGTATAAGTAATCCGTGGCCTTGGTATAAGTAATCCGTGGCCTCGGTTTAAGTAATCCGTGGCCTCGGTTTAGAAATCCGTGGCCTTGGTATAAGTACCGTGGCCTAGTTTATAATCCGTTAATCCCCGGTTTAGAAACCTTGGTATAAGTAATCTAATCCGTGGCCTTGGGAAATCCGTGGCCTTGGTAGGTTTTTCTAGAAGAAACGGTGTGCCGCATATTAATAGTAGGTCACTTTAACCTATGACCTATATCAAAGGAAAAAAGTTTGTTTGGACCCGGTCATCTACACTACATTTGATACTCGGTACATAGATTTTCCTTGGTGATTAGTAAACCGAGAACGTGGCCGGATTACTAAACCAAGGCCACGGATTACTTATACCAAGGCCACGAATTACTAAACCGAGACCACGGATTACTTATACCAAGGCCACGAATTGTTTAAACCAAGGCCACGGATTACTTATACCAAGGCCACGAATTGTTTAAACCAAGGCCACGGATTACTTATACCAAGGCCACGAATTGTTTAAACCAAGGTCACGAATTACTAAACCGAGGTCACGGATTACTAAACCAAGGCCACGGATTACTTATACCAAGGCCACGAATTGTTTAAACCAAGGTCACGGATTTCTAAACCGAGGTCACGGATTACTAAACCAAGGCCACGGATTACTTATACCAAGGCCACGAATTGTTTAAACCAAGGTCACGGATTTCTAAACCGAGGCCACGGATTACTAAACCGAGACCTCGAATTACTAAACCGAAACCACGAATTACTAAACCAAGGTCATGGATTTCCAAACCGAGGCCACGGATTACTAAACCGAGACCTCGAATTACTAAACCGAGACCACGAATTACTAAACCAAGGCCACGAATTACTAAACCGAGACCACGGATTACTTATACCAAGGCCACGAATTGTTTAAACCAAGGTCACGTGGCCTTGGTATAAGTAATCCGTGGCCCGTGGCCTCGGATTAGAAATCCGTGGCCTTGGTATAAATCCGTGGCCTTGGTATAAGTAATCCGTGGCCGTAATCCGTGGCCTTGGTTTAAAAACCGTGGCCACAAATTACTAATCCGTGGCCACGGTTTAAACAATCCGTGGCCTTGGTAAAGTAATCCGTGGCCAATCCGTGGCCTTGGATTAATCCGTGGCCTCTAAATCCGTGGCCCGGTTTAGAAATCCGTGGCCTTGGTATAAGTAATCCGTGGCCTTGGTATAAGTAATCCGTGGCCTTGGTTTAAACAATCCGTGGCCTTGGTATAAGTAATCCGTGGCCTCGGTTTAAACAATCCGTGGCCTTGGTATAAGTAATCCGTGGCCTCGGTTTAGAAATCCGTGGCCTTGGTATAAGTAATCCGTGGCCTCGGTTTAAACAATCCGTGGCCTTGGTATAAGTAATCCGTGGCCTTGGTTTAAACAATCCGTGGCCTTGGTATAAGTAATCCGTGGCCTCGGTTTAGAAATCCGTGGCCTCGGTTTAGAAATCCGTGGCCTTGGTATAAGTAATCCGTGGCCTTGGTATAAGTAATCCGTGGCCTTGGTTTAAACAATCCGTGGCCTTGGTATAAGTAATCCGTGGCCTTGGTTTAAACAATCCGTGGCCTTGGTTTAAACAATCCGTGGCCTTGGTATAAGTAATCCGTGGCCTCGGTTTAAACAATCCGTGGCCTTGGTATAAGTAATCCGTGGCCTTGGTTTAGAAATCCGTGGCCTTGGTATAAGTAATCCGTGGCTTCGGTATAAGTAATCCGTGGCCTCGGTTTAGAAATCCGTGGCCTTGGTTTAAACAATCCGTGGCCTTGGTATAAGTAATCCGTGGCCTTGGTATAAGTAATCCGTGGCCTTGGTTTAAACAATCCGTGGCCTTGGTATAAGTAATCCGTGGCCTTGGTATAAGTAATCCGTGGCCTTGGTTTAAACAATCCGTGGCCTTGGTATAAGTAATCCGTGGCCTTGGTATAAGTAATCCGTGGCCTTGGTTTAAACAATCCGTGGCCTTGGTTTAGAAATCCGTGGCCTTGGTATAAGTAATCCGTGGCCTTGGTTTAAACAATCCGTGGCCTTGGTATAAGTAATCCGTGGCCTTGGTTTAAACAATCCGTGGCCTTGGTATAAGCAATCCGTGGCCTTGGTATAAGTAATCCGTGGCCTTGGTTTAAACAATCCGTGGCCTTGGTTTAGAAATCCGTGGCCTTGGTATAAGTAATCCGTGGCCTCGGTTTAAACAATTACCCCTTTTAGGTCCTGCCCTCTGTACCCCTAGTATAATTTCGAATCCCCACCATCTAAGGATGGGATACACGTTGTAGGTTTTTCTAGAAGAAACGGTGTGCCGCATATTAATAGTAGGTCACTTTAACCTATGACCTATATCAAAGGAAAAACAGTTTGTTTGGACCCGGTCATCTACACTACATTTGATACTCGGTACATAGATTTTCCTTGGTGATTAGTAAACCGAGAACTCGGATTACTAAACCAAGGCCACGGATTACTTATACCAAGGCCACGAATTACTAAACCGAGACCACGGATTACTTATACCAAGGCCACGAATTGTTTAAACCAAGGTCACGGATTTCTAAACCGAGGTCACGGATTACTAAACCAAGGCCATGGATTACTTATACCAAGGCCACGAATTGTTTAAACCAAGGTCACGGATTTCTAAACCGAGGACACGGATTACTAAACCAAGGCCATGGATAACTTATACCAAGGCCACGAATTACTAAACCAAGGCCACGAATTACTAAACCGAGGCCACGAATTACTAAACCAAGGCCACGAATTACTAAACCAAGACCTCGAATTACTGAACCAAGGCCACTGATTACTAAACCAATGCCACGGATTACTAAACCAAGGCCACGGAATACTTAACCGAGACCTCGAATTACTAAACCGAGACCACAAATTACTAAACCAAGGCCACGGATTACTAAACCGAGACCACGAATTACTAAACCAAGGCCACGAATTACTATACCAAGACCTCGAATTACTAAACAGAGACCTCGAATTACTAAACCAAGGCCACGAATTACTAAACCGAGACCACGAATTACTAAACCGAGACCACGAATTACTAAACCGAGACCACGAATTACTAAACCGAGACCACGAATTACTAAACCAAGGCCACGAATTACTACCAAACCAAGGCTACCGAATTACTAAACCGAGACCACGAATTACTAAACCAAGGCCACGAATTACTAAACCGAGACCACGAATTACTAAACCGAGACCACGAATTACTAAACCGAGACCTCGAAGTACTAAACAGAGACCACGAATTACTAAACCAAGGCCACGAATTACTAAACCGAGGCCACGAATTACTAAACCGAGACCACGAATTACTAAACCGAGACCTCGAATTACTAAACCGAGACCACGAATTACTAAACCGAGACCTCGAAGTACTAAACAGAGACCACGGATTACTAAACCAAGGCCACGGATTACTAAACCAAACCAAAGCCACGAATTACTAAACCGAGACCACGAATTACTAAAGCAAGACCACGAATTACTAAACCGAGACCACAAATTACTAAACCAAGGCCACGGATTACTAAACCGAGACCACGAATTACTAAACCGAGACCTCGAAGTACTAAACAGAGACCACGAATTACTAAACCAAGGCCACGAATTACTAAACCGAGACTACGAATTACTAAACCGAGACCTCGAAGTACTAAACAGAGACCACGAATTACTAAACCAAGGCCACGAATTACTAAACCGAGACTTCGAATTTCTAAACCAAGGCCACGGATTACTAAACCGAGACCACGAATTACTAAATCAAGGCCACGAATTACTAAACGAAGACCTCGAATTACTAAACAGAGACCTCGAATTACTGAACCAAGGCCACGAATTACTGAACCAAGGCTACTGATTACTAAACCAAGGCCACGGATTACTAAACCAAGGCCACGGATTACTTAACCGAGACCTCGAATTACTAAACCAAGGCCACGAATTACTAAACCGAGACCACGAATTACTGAACCAACCACGAATTACTAAACCGA